AGGCTTCATCTTTTGATCCATAAGCCGTAGATGGCTTCCATTCCCATCAAGTGTTAGGCCAGACTCATCCAGATTAATGATCTGGTTAAGTTGGCCAGCAAAAAACAATTTCAACTTCACAGATCTCATCATCTCGCTTTTGTCTGGTGAAGCCTTCGGCAACAAGTTTGTGTTTCAGTTTGCTAAACCACATGTTAATATCATTATACATAGTCCACTTGAAATGCCTTTCCTCAATTTTTTTCTTACTGTTCTTGTTTGTAGCAATCATTGGCAGCAATTGTCGGCAGCAATGGTTGGCAGCAATCGTTGGCAGCAATCGTTGGCAGCACTCCTTGATAAAGGTCATCATGTAGCAAACATGGAGCAGACGCTAAGCAAGTCTTCAACATTGCAATGAAACCTTTATGGTAAGGAATCTTTTCCTTTTCCTCGCAAGCCAAAGCAACAAAAGATGATATGGCATCTCCCAGTGCAATTATAATAGACTGCGGAAGCAAAATCTTACGTCCCTTTCCTGGAGCCCCAAGGTTATCCTTCAAATGTCATTGCACTGTGTTTGCCTTCAGCAATGTGTTGTACAGTAAATTAAGCTGAGATACGATACTGACAAGAGAGGAGTGGCAGTTAGGCCGCAAATTTTCTTGCTCGTACCTGACTTTCTTTGCAATAGCAATGTAAGCATCTTCATGAGCCTGTCTCTGTAAAAACTTGTTCACCATCTTGATATGAGCTTGGTTAGGAGTATCTGGACTCTCTTTTAGAAGAACTGGTGCAAGGGTTCCCTTCTTCAGCAGACTGCTGTCATCCTTGCTCTTTACTGGTGCTACCACTGCTGTTGCTACCACTACTGTTGCTACCACTGCTGCTGCTGTTGGATTGGTGAGAACTGATATTTTTGCTTCCAACTGACCCACCTTTAGGCCTGATAGGTTTGCAAGCTCTTCCAAGTTGATTAACACCATTTCCTTAGAGGAGGTCAAAGCTGATAATTCTGGTTCCTTCTGCTTTGAGGACACAAAACACTCAAGATAATTAGGGGGGCCCTCCACCATCCTTTCCATCCACCTTTGCACTCTTCTTTGTATGGCTTTGTTGTCTGCCTCATCTTCACTNAACACTCAAGATAATTAGGGGGGCCCTCCACCATCCTTTCCATCCACCTTTGCACTCTTCTTTGTATGGCTTTGTTGTCTGCCTCATCTTCACTGAACTGAGCAATGAGCATTGTTGCTCTCCTCACAGAACACTGGATGCCTCTGAGTTGTTGTTGTTGTTGTTGTTGTTGTTGTTGTTGTTGTTCATCTTGGTACCAAAATACTGCTAAAAACTGTTGTTTTTTCAAAATACTTGGCCAATTGATCCAAAACTTCCAGAGATCCTTTTCCTTGATATAATGAATAGGATGTATTGCTTGTTTGATTCCAAAGAAGCCAGCAATATGCTTGTTTTGCTGTTACAGTACAGCAGCTTCTTTTTTGCTACTAGTATTTTGATGACAATTTTTGCTGCTGCTGGTGCTATTATAGTGCTGTTCTTTCTAAACCATTTGGTCAATCAATCTGGAACTTCTGGATCCTCTTCCCCTTAATGTAAGTATTAGAACACTTGTCTTGTGAGCAGGATTGGTTCGTCACATTGGACACGGATGAAGAACTAAAGAGGCGACAGCTTTCTATGCTGGTGGAGGTTGTGTAAACAATGAGTCTTTTTGAATTTTTGGTGTGCAGAGAAATCAAGAAGCCTGAAAAGTTTCTCTGGCAAGAAACACATGGAATATACACATGGGATATACACATGTATGAAAAGACAAGAGAAAAAAATTCTGGCTGACAATCTAATTCTGATTGGTGCTTTGGCTAGCATTAAGGCAAAGATACAAAAAACTGGCGCCTTTTATGTACTCATAACCTGTTCGAAATCAATAGTCTTATTTCGAACTCGTACTTGTACACTACGTACATAGAGTAGGAAATACGTACATGATAAATCATACGCACTACGAGAAGAATCGAAGTCCAGTCTGCATCATCATCATCARTTATTTTTGTTAGCCTTGTGATGGCTATCGGTGGCACATCCCGCGTGCAACGTGGAATGCTCCGATTAAGGCAGAACAAAAAGGAAGAACAAACTGAGCTCAATAACGACTTTTCCGGGTTACTCAGATAGTTCAAGCTGCGCCTACATCAAACCAACTCACTACGAGTATTCGGATCGCTTTTTCTCGTCTTTTTTCTTTTCATCACACACGTCTAATACACGCGTTTGTCTGACATCATACATGGGCGATTTCCTACCGTCCGGTACCGGTATTACCAGTACTGTAATGTAAGTATCATCCGTTCCGTTTACCGCTGGATACCAATCGAGTTATTAATGGAATTGTTTTTTCTTCGCCTGTTTTTGARCATGCGTTWAAAAAATCTGTAATACCTTCTGCTCGACACTCTCGTTGCCTGCTTATCCCACTATTACATCGGCAGAATAGAATTACTAGAAAAGGACYGAGTGTTCTGTTGACTTGTTTTCTAGAAATCTTCTTCTCCCGTCTTCTATTGAGCACARCGGTATTCGAAGAAATTACAAGCGACAAAAGTGCAATCCTGGGCTTCTGGCCACAATCTACTCTCATTTACCAGTTTCAAGACGATTCGCGATACTGCTGTTGAAAAAGCATTACTGAAAGTTGATACAGGGCCAAAATCTGAAAATGAACATAAATTCTGTGGCTTTGTCTAATTTCTTGGTCTTCGCATCGTTGACTGTGTCGACCGATGCGTTTGTGCCAAGAGCTCAGATCGCGGGGCCAGTCAGAACATCTTCATCGCTATTTGTTTCCGGTCTAGAAAAAGAGAAGGTCGAAACTGAAGAAGATTTACACCAAGATGGAGATGATWWTACTCCATTCCACTTTAATGAGGGCATCCCTACTCGATTGCGAGTGGAAGGCAGAGGGATTCCGAATCGTCAAGACAAGATCCAACTCGTGGATACCTCCACTTACGAGGCGAGCTTGCTCGAGCGATGGGACAMCGACCCGAGTAGGCAAAAGGGATTCGATTGGGAAATTGAAAAGATGCGAAGGTATGCAGCCGGCTTGAGRATGCGGGAAGACGGTGCCTGGGTSAAGAAGCCAACTTTTTTTGAATTTTTGGTCAGCAAGCAGCGCGTCAACACCGGTGCGGTCGGTCCGAGCCCAGCGAACGCCATGGATACTGCCATTTTGTTCCTAGTTCAAATGTTATCCTACGTTGGACTCGAATCTGCCTTCGGATTGACTTCCGTTCCAACCGCCGAAATCCAAAAGTACGAGGGGTCGTACATTTCTTTCATTAAAGGGGTTCTAGGGGGTGACTTGCAAACGCTAGCTGGTGGACCGCTCTTTTTGCTTCTGAACAAGTATTTTTTGGAGAACGGGCCTATATTCAATTTGGCCTTTGGTCCGAAGTCATTTTTGGTRGTCAGTGACCCATCAATGGCGAAGCAGATATTGCGAACAGCTCCTTCCGACCAATACTGCAAGGGCATGTTGGCAGAAATCCTGGAACCCATCATGGGYAAGGGATTAATCCCTGCAGACCCAACGACCTGGAAGGTAAGTGGGTTTCTAGGTGATTATGGCTGATTCCTTTTTGATTTTCTTCTCTTCCACCTGATTTTGGTCTTATTGTATTATYGTTGCCTTCCTTGTTTACGAAACACTGTGTTGACAGGTTCGACGCCGTGCCGTTGTTCCTGCCTTTCACAAAAAGTGGCTTAACCGAATGATTACACTCTTCAACGAACGAGCTGAAATATTATGTGCCGACCTAGAGAAAAAGGAAGGAAAGGTGGTAGACATGGAAGAACGATTCTGTTCGGTGACTTTAGATATCATCGGTAAAGCAGTTTTCAATTACGACTTTGGTTCGGTTACTAAGGAATCGCCAATCGTGAAGGCTGTATACAGAGTTTTGAGAGAAGCAGAGCACCGCTCATCTTCATTTATCCCATACTGGAATCTGCCCTATGCTAGTCAGTGGATGGGTGGACAAATAGAATTCCGACGAGACATGACCATGTTGGACGACATATTGGCAGACTTAATYAATAAGGCTGTAACGACGAGGAGCGAAGCCACAGTCGAAGAGTTGGAAGAGAGAGACAATTCTGATGATCCTTCACTTCTACGATTTTTGGTAGATATGCGTGGGGAAGATTTGAGTTCCATGGTTTTGCGAGACGATCTAATGACAATGTTGATTGCTGGACACGAGACAACAGCTGCCATGTTGACCTGGACTCTTTTCGAGCTTGCGAAGGGCGATCCAGCTATGTTCCAAGAAATTCAAAATGAAGTCCGAACAGTATTGAAAGATAAGGATAGACCGGACTACGACGATGTTGTTGCTATGAAAAAGATGCGATACGCGCTCATTGAAGGTCTGAGACTATACCCAGAACCACCCGTGTTGATCCGAAGAGCACGTACGGAAGACACCTTGCCTCAGGGAAGCTCCGAAATGAAGGACGGAATCAAGGTTTTGAGAGGAACCGATATTTTCGTATCCACATGGAATCTTCACCGCAGTCCTGACCTCTGGGAAGATCCSTATACATTTGATCCCACAAGGTGGGAACGACCCTACAAAAACCCGAAGGTGAAAGGCTGGGCAGGGTATGATCCCGACAAGGTCACAGGTCTCTACCCCAACGAAAACGCTGCGGATTTCGCCTTTTTGCCGTTTGGCGGAGGTGCACGAAAATGTGTTGGCGACCAATTTGCCGTATTGGAAGCCGCTGTAACATTCTCTGTTCTCATCAAGAATTTTGACTTTGAGTTCGAAGGAAGTCCAGACGAYGTTGGGATGCAAACRGGAGCTACGATTCACACAATGAACGGATTGAAAATGAGGCCGGCGAAGGTCAATGCTGATGATCCATTGCATTCCACCGGTGGATGGTGGGAGCGTCAGCATTTAAAGCGTGGACTTAAYGCTAGCGGCAGACCCTACCATTCCAAAGAAGAAGTAGAATACCAGAACAAACCCAAACACGAAAGACCYGATGACCCTGGGATTCCCATGTCGCATTAGACTCGCTCAATTGCAAGCAGCACGAAACGTTTTGCGTCGGATCCTTGCAATTTCTWTTACCTATGATTCAGCTAGGGCTACTATTAAAGAGAMAAACATAAACCCRTGATACCTCGCTTTGGAACGGGAAAGATAAARATAACAATAGCTAGATACACTTCARACAATTTGGGCTTATGTATCTCGTATGTGGAGTCGGTATGTTCTACTTCATGARYACATATTCGCAGAGTCAATGAGTRAATAGCTCCATCTTATCAGCACTTAATCTCTGCACATGAGACTCTCTCGTGTGTCGACGCCCGTGACAGGGTTGGTACCTTTGGCGGTTGGGTGTTCACAAAGGTATTTCTGTTGGTCTTTGCGCAAAAATGTCTCACTCCAGTCGCTTCCTTCGATGCTCTTTACACCCTCGAACAAAGTAGCTCCACTGACATACACTTCTTTCATGACAGTGTTTTTCAGGTTAGCCCGGTTGAATTGGGCCATTTCAACATTCGAGAGAGTCATGTCAGCATCTTCGAAATCGCTTCCGTCGAGTGTTGCATCAAAGAAAGAAGATCCTACCAAATTGGCTCCCTTGAAGTTGGAGTCTCGAACAATACTTTGTTGGAAAGCTACTCCCTTCAGATTTTGTCCAGMAAAATTCGAATTATCAAGGTTAACCCCACGAGTGATGGCAATCGTACGGCCCGACTGCAGGGTCGATGCACCTCCAGTCGTAATTTTTGCGTTTGATGCAGCTGTAGCTCCTTGATCGGCAAAGGCTGGCTCCGTTATAGAAAACGTGGAAGCAACTGCRAAAGCTGCGACGCCAACTGTTAAATGWGATAGCCACTCCGCCGTTCTTTTTGAAGACGCATTCAAGCTCGTTGTAGCTTTGGGAGAGGYAGTCGTAACGGATGCAAATCCGGTTACGCTTCCAACAGAAGCCATTACGACAACGCTAAGCAGGGGATTRATAGATTTCATTGTGTACAACTGAGGCTAGGTGGGAAATGCAGTKCAATCTTTAGATAAAGGTGTTATCAAAGATTTTGGTCAAGGAATTCGGCACACGTTCAAGAGGCGGATCCGAAGGTTGTCCCGAGAAAAAAATCGTGTTTTACAATAGTTACCCTTGACATCACGTTGAAGCCAAGTAAGCCGTGCTGATTAGGTTTTGAGTTCCGTGTTTTTTGTTGTGATTCACTSTGATGATGAACGTCGTCGTGCTGATGAGTTTTCAAAAACAAGAAAAAGATCATGGACAGAAGCGTCGAATGTAATGCTTGCACGTGGAATAATACCTACGACTCATATGTACGATTTTGTGACTATTACATAGTATAAATATTTTGCCTCTCTCTACATTACGTAGTACGGTACAAGTTGTTTCTAGTAGTACTACCTCGTTTCTGTCCACCGACATTACTACCTTACACTAGAAAGACAACAAGAATCGTGACTTCGGTTGCAAAAAGTTTTAAATTATATTCCTTCCGACAATTTGTCACAACACTACTGAGTWCTTCTGTCTGTAGTAATGCAATACCGACGGATTTAGGGTCAGAAATAAAATTTCTACAGTGATTTTTTTTCATTGATTCAAGTGCCAGCAAGGATTCATTGCTATCTCTTCTGAACTGAWTCGTAGATCTACCAATTACAGCACCGTACAAACCACAAACTTTKAAAGGTGAAGATGTAACGAAAGATGCATTTTTTTCACATCGCTTTTCTCTATGGGAAGGCGTAATATTCCAAAATCTATATGCTCAATCCGTGGCATCGCAAACTCCGGCGTTCGAGAGGGCAAACTGGCAATCGGCCTCCGGCAGGCTGGGGCTATCGTAGACCGACATTATCCGATTCTCGCCTCGTCCCTTTCGCAAACGCAGCCTCGTGGTTGAGGCGTGCGCAATGATGTTTCCCCCAATTGGCTTYGTGGCATCTTTGGCAAAACTCATTCCGTCGGGATTGGCAACGACCTGGTTGGTGATAAAGACGGCTACTCCGAATTCCTCTGCCAATCGCGTCAATTGCCGGAGAAACTGTCCCATTTGCATCTGCCGCTCGGACAGTTCTCCGCGGCCCGTATAATCTGTTCGAAACAAAGCCGTGGCGGAATCCACCACCAATAGCGCGTATCGGTCCTGCGACATGATGGCCGCGGCAACCTTGAGGAGTTCCATTTGGTGTTCCGAGTTGTGTGCCCGAGCGCAGGCCACGTTTTCCAAGACTACGGCCGGATCGAGGCCAAATCGTTCGGCAATGGCCCGGAGGCGCTCGGGTCGAAAGGACCCCTCAGTATCAATATATATGGCTTTTCCTTCCGCCCCGCCGTCCGAGACCGGCATCTGGCATGTCACACATAGGGTGTGGCAYAGCTGGGTCTTTCCGGTTCGGAACTCGCCAAAGACTTCGGTAATCGATCCGGTCTCGATTCCTCCTTCCAGTAATTTGTCTATTTCGACGGCTCCTGTCGTGAGCATGGCTATTGTCTGTCGGTCTTCCAAGGCATCCGCCGCAGTTTTGAATTCCATAGATACCATTTGTTTCACGATGTCTTTCAATTTGAGAACCTTGGCTTCCGAAATTCCCTTGACGTCCGAGAGTCGACGGGTAGTGGCATGGGCAATCTTTTGGATTGGGAGCAACGTTGATGAAAGATGGAAGAATAATAGAACAAAACGCGAGGAACGATGTGCCGTACGGTATGCACAAATGGCAGGAATATCGGTGAGGGACAGCGCACACTTACAGTTTTCATACGGTCATTACCCACGAATCTGGAACAYAGTTCGCAGTCATTCCTTTGTCTATGGCAACGGACTCACCGATTCGATCGTGTAATACCCGGCATTTTGAAGCTTTTGAATGTCATTTGTKGCAATTCCGTGTTCTGCGAGGAGATCGATCGGTTGGTAGGTAGTGGCAGACTTCGAGGCAGGAACAAAAAATTGGAAACATTTGTTGTAAGATTCGAAAAGCACCAMGGTTTGATCRCGRTAGAATGTTMGTTGAGCGGAATAAGTTTGTCGTGAAATTGCGTGCCGACAAGCTTCAAACGTTGGGATCCAATGTTTCAATCATCGACATTACAATCGTAGCTCGAGAACTCACTTCTTCTTGTTCCATTTCTCCTTCGTCATACTGTTGTTGCTCCATAGGAGCGGCTGTCTCTGTCGCCATCATGGTATGGTTTGTTTACTTTGTCTTTATCCGACGAACAGTTAATCCTTTACTATTACTGTAGTGTGTGGTGCAAGGGAATATTTTAAGGTTGGTTTCATAAATCAGTAACGATGGGTAAAGTACTGTATCGCACTGTTCCTTGTACAATTTGTACGAGTGCTGGTACGGAACGGAACTCGCCAGTCCTTCTTCGAAGTTGACGTGCGGGACAGAATTTAAAAAAACTGACAAATTTTCTGACTTTCAAAATTACGAGTATGAGTTTAACCTCGTACCATACTACGTACTGCTTGTACGGATAGGACGTACTCTACAAAAGGACTGTAGGATACGTTAGGAGGTAAAGTAGTAGAAGGCTTCGATCTTACAGTACCAAGTACTACCGTACTCGTAGTTCAGACCTTTCCATAGTCGTAGCGTACTCGTACCATGCAGGTACGTACCGTACGTTCGGTACGATACTCTGGTTTGGCGCGAACTTCGATTTGAGATCAAAACCAAAAGCCGTGCGGACTTGAGTTTACAGGCMGCCAGTCAAAAATCGACTCTTTCGACTCAAAATATTCCCATCGATGAGTTACTCGTGTTTCGCGCGCTTCTCTCCCGTGGAAGATCGGACACAAAACATCCGTCATCACCGAAGTTCGAAAAAGAAAATGTGACCACAACAAAAAAATTACCTGTAACACCTCTCTGACTCGATCTYAAAGTGTTGTTGCTACGTACCGTTCCAACCTTTCATCACACCGTATCATGTCGCTATGAATGGARAGCACTCATATCCACGAAGCAGCACAAAAATTGAACAACAATACTAAGCATTGTTGCAAGGCCGACCATGAAGAATTTTGAAACGTCAAGAATCTTGGTTGCGGCATTGGCTCTAGCGTCGGTGGATTCGTCGCTTGCCTTCGTTGCACCCACCCCATCGGCTTGTCTTGTCGGAAACAGCAACAACATCGGCAATGGAGCTCTATCGGCAATTCCCCCGGTATCACCCGACAGCGTCGGAGAGACCTTCAGCAATGGATTTCAGATCGCGGCGGTTTCCATCGACTCGGTCACATCCAGTGCTCTCTTTACCTACTTTGCCGAGAAGGTCATCGACGCCTCCATTCCTGCGGTCTTTGCAGCTGCCGTCATTTTCTTTTTCTTTTCGCAATTCAAGAAGGCCAAGGGAAATTTCGGAATGGACGATGAGGCCGCCGAAAGTGCAACGGCGATCAGCGAGCTGTACAACGATCTCTACTCTAGCACAAGGGGTTCCGGCAAGACCAAACGCGGAGGACCGATGAATCCYTTCGGAGGTCCCGGTGGACCCCCGGCCCTGCCCAAAAATCTTGGTCTTCCGAAGAAGGAGTATCTGCGCATTRCCAATATCAACGAGCGGTTTGACTCGTACGACTTTTCTCTCACCCAGGCCACCGACTCGAAAGCCAAAGCGGCCGCCGACTTTCGTTCCAAGTCRTTCGACAGGGCTCTCGGGCTGGCCATGAATGCGGAACCCTCTGTCGAAGGATCGACCGTGGCGGAATTCTTGGCCCCTAGGGTCAAGGCCAAACTCATTCGCATCGAAAAGAAATTCCTCAAAGAGGGCAAGGATTTGCTCGAGGATTTGCAAAAGGTTGAAAGCACTTTGGCAGCCGTAGCCATGGACGCCGAATTGGCAAAGCTCGGCGAAGAAGCCGAAAAGATGAACGAGGACGACCTCAAGGTAATCGACGCGGAAATCGAAGCCAAGAAGGAGGAGGAAAAAGCCRACGATGCCAAATCCGATAGCAAAAAAGACAACAAGAAGATGGGCGCCAAAAAGGAGGAATTGGTGAAGGAAGCAACCAAGTTGCAGACGCAAGTAAAGGAATTGGAGCTTAGCTTCATCGCGCAAGTCTTGGCTGCCGTMGGTCCAAAACGCGCTATCGGTCTTCGAAACGCTCTGATGGGAGACATTGCCGTCCGCGGAACCGGAGGCCTCTTGCAACAAATGGACCAACGCCCCCTGTCGCAAATTCTCAAGGCCGGAACCGATTCCCAGCAGAAGTCTGTTTTCGTGATGGACTTTCCTGGTGACGTGCAGGCCTCGCAGCTGAACGAACTGCGCGAGGAAGTCACCGGTGTCATTCGCAGTGCCAACCCAGGCGACGAAGTCTTGGTCATCCTCCAGTCCGGAGGCGGAACCGTAACTGGGTACGGTCTCGCTGCCGGTCAGCTGCAGCGACTGAAAGAAAAGGGATTGAAGCTAACCATTGCCGTAGAACAGGTGGCAGCCTCCGGTGGATACATGATGAGTTGYGTCGCTGATCGCATTATTGCCAGTCCGTTTGCGGTCATCGGAAGCATTGGGGTGATCTCCGAAATCCCTAATGTTTACGAGCGTCTGACAGAAGAAGGAATGTAAGTAATCGCCTTGCACAAAACAACTGCTCTACCGGATTGTGCTTTTCTCCTTGGATTCTCACCACAACTTTGCATCCTCTCGTGGCAAYGCATCGTCTCTCAAATCTCAGCAAATTCCAGACGGTGACGGCCGGTAAGTTCAAGCGYACCCTGACGCCCACCAAAAAAATMACGAAGGAAGACCTGGCAAAATCCGAGGAAGACATTGCCGAGATCTTCGAATTGTTCAAGGGATGGGTGGCGCAAAACCGTCCACAGCTCAACATCGACGAGGTAGCCACTGGAGAGACGTGGTTCGGTCCCGCAGCCCTCGAAAAGGGGCTCTGCGACGAGATCAGAACTGTCGACGACGTCCTCTTGGATTACATTGACAACGACTACAACGTCTACCAGGTAAAGTACGACCCTCCCCCGGAYATWCCCACTCCCCTGGCCGCCTTCCTCGCATCGGAAGACGGCAGTCCCAGAGCAGATTCCGACAACTCGATGGGCCGACGAGCCATTCGTTGGTTGGTGCAAACCCTTGCCGAGGAGGTCAAGGCCGTTGCATCCGTGGAGACCAACGCGCCTCTCGAGAAGAAATACATGGCGAAAGACGATACCATGGACCGCGTCAAAGCATCCTCAGACGATACATACTTTTAAAATCATCTAGAGAAAAATCCATTAGAAAAAGACAAGCGGTRTCTTTTGTTTAATTGCTGTCATTGCACTGTAGCTATCTCGTGCCAYGGAAACGCTCCGAGACGAAGAACACCTTCTCAGCCATGCATCCTTCRCCAGCTCATGAATCTTCCATGCGAAGAAAGCCAAGAAATGAGCGTTAGTCGTCGCCGGGTTCCCTTTTTCGTGGCGGGCAGCGTCCATCAGGAAATGGTCGCCACGACTTCTTCGAAGCATGCGTGCAGTGTGACAGCTTTCCGTAACCACCAGGGCGCGGACGGAAGAGTTTCCAGAACCAATCGTTCCACGAAAGGCCGTCACAAACAYATCATGATTATCACTACCACCACARMGACGAAAATAAACAAGATGACAAGAGGARCAAAACTGAAAAATTTCTCACTCCTCGTTTCCGAGTGCAACGGATTGCAGTTGTATTTCATCGTTTCTGTTTCTACTAGACAATCCTTGGGCAGCTTCACAACCGGCAGCAATGGCTTCAGCCGCCAGGCGTCGGGGAACGTGCCGTTGGTATAATTGAGGTTCGCCCCCAACGTCCACTGCCAGCTGCTTTCTGGACCGGCTGCTATCTCACTAACGCTTGTCTCGTTGGCGATGGTCGTGCCGTTGGTGATGTTCCTCAAAAGATCCACGTTGACTTCCTCACAGGTGGAAGAGGAGCTCACGGTCATTACCCCGTCCCTCATAAGGCATCCCCCGGTGGTGAACAGCGTGTTCGAGTCTCCCCCCAGAGCGATGTGCGTGTCGTCGCCGTCGGCGGTGACGACCTGCCGAAAGCCGGTGACGCTAACCCGTAGCCTTTCACCGCCGCCGACGTTCTCCCCCGTGTCGTCGGCACCGGACCGGACAATGGCAGCCCGGACATTGCTCCCGGCCATCTGGATGGTCCCGGTCACGTTCTCGTGGGTTTTGATCCGGACCTCCCCGCTCATGGACTCGTCGAAGAATCTGAGTTCCGTCCCCGGATCGACGCCGGAGCTTTCGGAATCCGGCGATATGACCAGCGTGACCTGCGTGCCAATCCCGCGGTTCAGCACGGTAAGCCGACTGGGAGGGCCCTGGGTTAGGAGAAACGTTGGATCGTCGATCTCGAAAGTCGTTTCGTTGGTCTCGCTAGCTGCTGCTATTGTCTCGTTGTTGTCGTTGCTGCCGTTCCCACCACTGTTCACCGTGCCGCCAATCTCGATCCCCAGGGAGTAGTCGTACTTTGGACCCATGATAATGCTGGTCTCTAGCATCCAGTTGGGTATCCACATCTCGAGGGCTGCGTAGTTTTCGTCCTTTTCTTGCCCTCTTGTGTCCTCCACAATTTTTTCCCAAGTAGTGGGATGGTTCTTGCGCCTCCGTTTCTTGCCGGCGGTTYGGTTCCAAACGAACCGCAGGAGTTCCGAATTCAAGTAGCTGTGGTTGTCGAATTCGACATCGGGTAGGACGTCGTAGAAAGGCAGGATCATTTCCCACGGGTGGCTCCGGTATCTCGGTTCCAGGTCGTCGTCGATGGCGTAGATCCGAACGTGGATCTTTTTCGGGATCGCGATGTCATCGTCCTCGCAGATTTCGCCGTCCTGCTGGGGTTCCCCGCACCACTGGCGGGGGTCGACGATCGCTCCCTGGCTCGTACCATCAGCACCGGCACCAACATCAGCAGCGCTATTGGGGGGTTCCGACACGGTCAGGTTCCCGCCCCCCCCGGCRAGCTTCCAGAGGAGGACCGGGTCGCCCTCGTTGGTCTTCCAGACCATGTTCTTGATGTCGTTCCTCGAGATGTAATCGTTGTCGAAGATTTTGCGGTCGCTGTCAAAGGCGCACGTGATGTCGGCGGAGATGAATCGGACCGGGCGCTCCCCCTTGCCGGACGACCCACCCGAGCCTTTGTTGCCCAGTCTCCCGATCGGTAAGGCCAGCGAATAGTCGCCGCACGAATACGTGCAGTTSGCCCCCGCACCGCATCCCTCTTCGGCATCGCTGTCGCTCTGGTCGTTGTCGATGTCCTCGTCGTCGTAGAACGGAGCGTCGGGGAAGGAAGACGGAACCGGTGATGTTGCGTTGTGGCCGCTGCTGTCGCTTTTCTCTTGCCCTCKKACCGCCGCAGCCAAGAACGCAAGGACCAGAAACGGCAAGGYCGTCGTTTTTGGCAACATCGCTGCCTGCCAGCGGTCGCCCTAATGGATTCCGGGGATGGTCGTTGCTGCGGCACAAACGAGCACTACAACGGTGGAAATTACAGTGCCTGACGAGTATCGTGTCGTGCAGGAACGTTCATAATACAAATTACTTGTGTAGCAGGCACCACGGATGGAGATATCTAACAATATCACTGACAAATAGTTGTCACAGACAGAGACTGAGGAAGACAGGTACCGTAGTTCTTTCAAAAGTACGCTTGTGAATACCGAGCGATACGTACGAGTACTTTACTCGTACTCGTACCTGCTATCTGCTCGAGCTCTAACATGTGCGAGTACCCAGTACTACAGTATTAAGTACCGGCCGGTACTACTGTATTAGAAGTATGTAAAATACAGGACGTATGTACCGGTACTTGGCACCTGTACTTCAGCACAATCTTTTTGTCCTACGTACTGGCCTGAGTTCCTCGCCCCGAGGTCGATGATTGATTTGATTCACTCGATTCGAATGCCACACGGTCATTGGTCAAAATGACTGAAGACAAACCCAAAAATTTAGTTYATCACGATTAGCAACTTGGAGGAGACCCCCGAGGCAGGAGACTCAAGACTCCCAAACGACTGTTCGGCACAAGCCCTAGAAGAACGCGTCTTGTATTTTACTTTACGGTACTCGTACTACTGTATTAGTTTTAAGTAAGTATCACATGGTAATCGTACTCGTACCCCTAGTCGTACCCATCTGGAATTCTCTGGCCCTCCGTGGTACGGCAGAACCGMCAGAAATTTCCGCTTTGCGAACACTATGAGATAGAAAATCCTTGGGCACCCAGTACCAACATTACGGTAGGACGGGTACGGGAATAACCGAAACAGGAACGACAGGGTTCAAGTACTAGTACGAGTACGAGTACGAATTGTATCGTAGATCCAGCACGCGGTGTTACACCCCCAAAGAGACACATCCAAATAGAGCGAACTTCACTCTTTTCCACCGAACCAAGAGCAAAACAAACAAACACAAACACAAACACCTACCGTACCTACCTTTTCACGCCGACGGGTTGCGACATTCTTGGTGTCCGCAAAAGCCCCCTTCAATCTYGGTGAAAGGCAGGAGTTCACGGAGAACAACGCCCTGTTGCCACCAGGAAATCCAAGCGACAGAAGAGATCCAGCCATACCATACCACACCATACGACACCACACCACACCACATCACAACACAGCACACGACACCATAGAACATACCACAACATAGCGCAACATGMCCTCCATCGAAGACGAGCTCTCGCAGATGCTGACCATTGGACCCGGCGCCGGTGACTCGAACGAGACGAGCGGAGCCAAGGCGGGTGCCGGCCACAACAAGAATAAAAAAGACAACAGCAAACCCAACGGCGACGGAGAACGGGACAAGGACAAGGACAAGGACCGTCCCTCGAGGGAGCCACGCGCCAGGAGCCGGAAGATCCGGTACGGAGGCCACAGCCCGTCCGGGGAGGCCGACCCGAACAAAAACAGCGATGCCAAGAGCCTCCGGTCCCGAAAGTCCTCCTCGTCGAGCCGGAGCAAGAGCAAGAGCAAGAAGGAGGCCGGGAAATCGGGGGAAACCCCCGAGCGGGGATCGAGCAAGAACCGGGAGGGCTCGGCCCTGCCGYCGGCTTCGAAACCGAGGCGTACCAAGCCGTCGGAAGGTGGGGTCAACCAGGAGCTGTTGGGGCAATCAAACCACTCGAGCCGATCGAGGTCGAGGCGTTCCAAGGCGGACGAGGCAAGCCGGGAATCCTCCGACCGGGGATCGAACCACGAGGCGGCAGCGGCATCCGGATCGAGACAGAAGCGCTCCAAGGCAGAGGGGGAGGCAACGGAGGCCCAGGCACCCGAATCCCAGGCCGAGAGCGGCCGGCAGCAAACCCCCCCGCGGTCTCCCAAGAGCCCAAAGGGAGATAGGCGCAAGATACGATACCGGAAGGAAGCGGGAGAGGGGGGCGCCACCCGGGAGAGGACCAGAGACGAAAAGAGCGTCCGATCGAGGCAGAGCCGGGCMACCCGCGGGCACAMCCACCGCTCCAAGTCCGACGACCTCCTGGCAACCCGCCGCAACCAGGCGTCCGAGGCGACGGACGAAACCGGGAGGACCGGCGTCAGGAGCTCGTCGCTGCGGTCGAAAACCAAGAAAATCTCCTACCAGCGGGACGGACCCGAGTCGGCCAGGGAACGAGACAGGGACGCGAGGAGCCTCCGGTCTGCACGGTCGAGGACCCATCGCAGGGCCAGGGAAGGCTCCATCGAAGAGAGCCACGACGAGGAAGACCCCGACCTCCTGGACGAGGCCACCCGCCCGAGRAGCAGCCGCCGCCGGGCCCCCACCATCWCGCAATCGGCCCACACCCGGSCCACGGAGCGGCGAACCCGGCGGGTGAACATCTCCATGTCGATGCACGAGGCCTCCCCGCCGCCCGGCACCGGCCTCGGCCAGAGGGGAATCGGCCTCACGGGAAGCACGGCCTCCCGACGGCCGCCCCGGAGGACCGCGGGCGAGGGACAGCAACCCGGGAGCATCGGCATGGTCCTGGGGGATCCCTCCCGCCGGGCGCCGCCGRCCCGKTCCCGGTCGAACGAGTCGGGGGAAAACCGCAAGCCGCCCTCCCGGAGCCACTCGAACGATTTTGCGGACTTTCTCCGGAAGACGGGCCTGGACTACAAGCCCTCCCGGAGGGTCGTCACCCGAATGGACGGCTCCACGAACAACAACAACAAGAATTCCTTTGAGAGCGACGAGGAGGACGGGGACGAAGACAATCCYTTCGAGGTCACCTACATATCGAAGTCGATCCTCACGTCGCGGTCCCAATCGGACGCCTCTGACCCCTTTGACCCCTTTGAAGGATCGAGCGGCGACGAATTGGAGCTGTCCGGCAAATCCTCCCGGCCGTCGTCCTCCTCCAACCGGGAGCCCCAGAGAAAACCGGTGGCCCCCACCAAGAGCGGCGGCCTCCTGGCGGCCTCGACGAAGGATACGCTGTCGCGGCCGAGGGCTCCGAAAAAAGSCACCGGCGAGGAAAAGCACCCTTCTGCCGGGGGCCACTCCGAGGCCGATGCCAAGACGGAGCGGGCGAAGCAGCGCCGCAACGAGTACAAAAAGTCCCTCGCCGCCGCGGCCATGGCCGGAAAGCAGCAACCCTCGCAGGAGCCCCTGTCGCTGCCCGGAAAGCGCTCGGCCGGCGGGCGGCAGGGCCGGTAGGGAGGCGGGGGTGGCCAGGGAAAATTCCGCGCGGCGTCGGGTGTTGGGGCTGTCGCGTATGGGTTTGGTTGCTTGGCTTTAATTTGATGCGATGCGATGCGATGCGATTTGGTTCTTTTCGATCCCGGCCCTTTGCTACAACACCTATGCGGCGTGATTTGTTGCCACGTTCAAACCAAGCTTCAAGGCAAACCAAACTAAAATTTAAACTTCAAGCGAAATCGAAGAATGCCATACATCGAAACGACTAGTACAATACACCAATAGCTACACCTAGTACGATAAGCATGATACATCGCGGTTCACAACCAGGCGTCTAGTAAAACAGTTAAACATTGTTGTCAATCAGGAGTTCCTGMGTGATGGATACGCAAACCACTCTAATTTATTCTAGTTGAACCACCATAGTTTGAACTCGTGCACAACGATGGTATGTTCAATAAACACGTCTCGGAACAGCCCTGGCCGAACGTTCCGATGCGGCGTTGGGAACGGGTGAGTCGTTCGTACGAGTSCCTGGCCGGGGCGGGCCTATCCGAGGGCACTTGGGATAGGGTGCGATGCGATTCGACCGCAACCACGGCACGGAAAAGTTGTCGGTGTGGTAGCATTCGGTCGTGCTTTGTCGTGGGGCACGGGTCTGGTAGAGTGAGTTGGAACCAAGGGGCTTTATATGGGCTATATTATAATTAACGACGGYATTGAACTTCAAGATGTCATCGTCGCACTTTTATGGCCGGGTAACACTCAGCGGTGCTCAATGACACCCTAAAGTTCGCTAAACGACTAAATGACTCTGACGGAGAAACCGGCCTTAGTGGAACATTGGTGCTGCAAGCTCGAACGAAGGCCTTCAACGCTAGAATTAGAACGTCTAACAAATCGAGCCTCCCCATAAATTCAAAAAACAAGCAACCTTAACGACGGGCACTGAGTTTTTTCCGTATCCGTACTTAGAACCCATAGCGCCGGCTTGCCGCAGAACACATACCGCACGAAACCACGATGACCGGGGTGCAGCTGCTTTCGCCCCGAAGAGAACACCAATCACCCCGGCAACGATACAACACCCACAAAAGATCATCGTCATCAACCAAGCTGGTGGAATCCTCTGTATTTTCGTCCCTGTCCGGTGCCATCAACACTAACAGCACCAGCAACACCACCAGCAACACCACCAGCAACACCAACAGCAACACCAACAGCAACACCAACAGCAACACCAACAACGACCGTCGCAGCAACAACCGACGACGAAATTCGCTGACGGGAGGGACCTGCCACACTCGTTCGAGCGACCCAAACCCCCCGAACCACCGTTCCACGAAATCTCTGCCTCTGAGGGAACTCACCGACGGTGGCAGCAGCAGCAGCAGCAACCTCAGCCAAAGGAGCAGCAGGAGCACCCGGTCCACCCGGACGAACAGGAGCAGCAAACCACCCACCCACCGCCGAAGCAGCACCATGGGCGAGGAGGACAAGGACAAATCACGGGCCGGAGAGGAGGAAGAACACGATGAAGACTGTTCTTATTACTACGAAGAAGAAGCCGAAACCGGGGAGTTGGAGCTGAACGACGGAGACGACGAGCCGAGGGACAGCTCGAGGAAGGARGGCCGGAGGTCYGCCCGCCGGAAGTACCGAAACGAGTCTCCCAGCCGCCTCAAGAGGCGCTCCGTGACGAGGGACCAGCGCAAGGCCATGCTCCGCTCGAGGTCCAGGGACAGCAACGACGACGAGGACTCKATCCTCTCCGCTCCCCCGGAACGGGCCCGGTCCCGCAGCAAGGGCTCGACGCGGGCGGGGCGGACCGCGGAGGGAGGCAGCGGCAACGCCGGGACGAAGCTCCGGGTCCGGAGCAAGGCCTCCCTCGCCGGGGGTGACGAAGCCCCCTCCCACAGCGAGAGCGACGAGGGAACCACGAGCGCCCACTCACGCCGCCACAGAAGCCAGAGCCGCCACCGCCACCGGAGCCAGAGCCGCTCCAGAAACGACGGAGACGGCGAAGGTGGACGCGGGCGTTCCAGCGAAAGCGACGACGACAAGGACCAMAGCACCCACCGCATGCGGAGGGCAAGGTCCACCTCCAAGGGCCACAGCGCGACGGTCCGCCGGGACCGGAGCAAGTCCCGGACCGCGGAAGGCACGGGCGAGCGACGGCGGACGAGGTCCGGAACGGGGACGAGGGTTCGTTCGGCGGCCCGCTCGAGGTCGCAAGACGTGGGCGACAGAGACCGTTCCTACCGTTCCTGCGACTTCTCCTGCGACGGGGACGAGGACACCCGGAGCGTGGCCTCGTCCAAGGCCGGAACCACTAGGCGGGGTAGGCGCCGGCAGAAGGCCGYAAGCGCGTCTCCAACCCGGGGGGGCCTTTCSCTGGGAGACCAGTTGAACCATTTGAGCGCCAACCGCCCCGGCGGCCGGTCCGAGGGAAACGACGAGCTCTCCCACGTCACAGAGGAATCCTCCCTGCGGAGCGGCTCGAAGGCCCAGCCCATCCTACTCCAGTTCGATCCCACCCGGGACGACATGGTGCATGCCGTCAACCAGACAAGGGCCACCAAGACCTCCGATACCATCCACCAASCGGACGGGAAGTCCTCCAGGCTGGAAATCAGCAAGCTGGATGGGTTGCTGCCGACCTTTGAAAAACCCAGGAGCGCCAAATCTGATTGGAACGGCACCAGTGACACGGAGTCCACCACTCGTTTCGGCAGCGACGACGGCATGGAAAGCGAGACCAACCCTGGCCAGGCAAAYAACAAGCTGAGCAACCTGGTCCAGGCCAAGAAATCGGCCTTTCTCCAGAAGGTTCAGAAGGGCAAGGACGAGGTCAAGGAGCGAATCGAGAAGGCCAAGAAGAGCACGGACGACGTCAAGGAGAAGCTGAGGAACAACCCCACGATCATCCGGCTCGGCCTCAAGAAAYCCAAGGACGATTCCGGCCAGAAGGACGGGGACGACGATAGCACCGCCGAGGACGCGGCCCTGCTGGCTTGGAAGGAAAAAATCCAGTGCCGGTCCAGGGAGGACCAGAACAGCCATCTGCCCATCTAGCTATCTGTTTCATCTAGCTAATTATTCTAGCTAGCTGGCCAGCCAGCCAGCCAGCCAGCCAGCCAACCAACCAACCAACCAGCACAGGCAAACACACCCGGCGTCCCGAGAGGGCCAAACACCATCTAGGATGATCGCGAGTCCTTGCTTGGATCCAAAGAAATACAACCACAAGGACCAGAGATAAGAAATTGCACAAGAAAGATTCATAAATCCATTTGAAATATTACTGCGAACTAAAAATTTTGATGTTTTACCATACCTTCGTTTAAAGGATTCATTCTAAGCATACCGCTTGCAAATATTTGAATACGGTAACCACTGGATAATTCTATAGAGGTCTCGCTAAAAGCCACAGTGGCCCAGTTTTTCTTCTCTTTCTTAGACAAACGTTGCTCCCGAGCTMAATCATGATTCTAGCCATCCAGTCAATCTTGCAAGATTTCCAAAAAAATAGCTCTGGAGAATGTACCTCTAGAAGAAATTTTTAAACGWCACAGAAATTGAATTTGATGTTCTTCGCTTTGAATTGAAGTTGAAAACTTCAAGTGAAAGCGTAAAACCAGCTAGTGTTACCGAATTCAAATATTTTGAATCGCGTAGTATGATAGAGTTGTTTCAGGAGGTACAAAAAATACTGTTTCTATTGCACTTATCGACCCTTGCTTGTAACAAAAACTTTCACGCGACCACGGATTTGGCAAGAAAGCTCATGGGTGCATTGAACGAATTATGGAACTCCGAAACTTCATGGCTTTGCTGTATCGCGTCGCGTCGCATCGCATCTACTCGTCGTCGTCGCGGTCAAAATACGACTCTTCCTGGTCGGCTTCCCGAAACCTGCGCTGGTCTTCGATAGCCCTCTCGTTCATAACCAGACGGGGGCGCCCGATGGCGTTGCTGACAACGGCGCGGTGCTCAYCCCCCGCGGGATGGTGGTGATTCTTCTGGTTCTGGTGGTTTCTCTCCCGGACGAGGTTTTCGTACGACTGCCTCAGGCACGTGAGCGTGCTGACGTACGGGCTCGAAACATCCTCCAGGCTCGGAACGGGTGCCTCGGCCCCGGTCGCGAATATGTGCTTTGTCACGATGTACTCGATGAGCGAGTTTGTGTTCTTGGAATTGATAAAGTCGCACATCTCAACGATTGAGGAGGACACCAGGTTGTCCCCCACCGGGTTGGCCCGAAAAGCTTCGAAGACCGGGCCAAAGAGGTCGTCCTGGATGATGTGTCGGTGGTACAGGTCCTCCTCTACGGACAGTACCGCGCGGAGAAACCGCAGGGCGGCGAGCTTGAGGCACCGGTCCCCGGAGGTGTTTCGTGGGAGCGAAGACGGCCGGATCAGCTTYAGAACGTTGCCAAGAACGCGCGAGCGCAGAAGGTACATCTTCATTCGGTACTGGTGGGCTCGGACGCAGAAACTCAGCAGCTCGACCGCGAAGGAGCTCCGGAGAGCACTGAACGGAACCTTGTGCAGCATCGGTTCGTCTTGGTAGTCTCCCCGTTCGAACCTCTCGAACATTTTGTCCGCAATCCGCGATTTGGTCTGGCCGGTAAATACCGCCGTGGGAAATCTCAGCAACGGGAACAAAATTGCGTACTGAAACGGAGCGGCAAGCCATTGCACGTAGTGATCGTAAAACGCCGACAAAAACTGGTTCTGTTCCGTCGAGGTGGTGTTCCCGGAACCGTTGGGATTTGGGTGCTGATCGTGGGGTGGGTTGTGACCACCGCTGGGTGGAATMCCTTCGGCCTCGTCCGCAAACCCTGCATTCATTGGGCGGTTTTCYCCGACAACATCTGTGTCCAGAATGATCCTCATGATTTCCGATACCTGGAGCAACAACCCCGCATCTGTTTCTATTGCGAGCAAAAATAGCAGGGAGGCCARTAAATCGTTTGGTGGGCACTGAAAGATGACTTGTCTCTTCCCGTTTGGCCTCGGCCGAGACAGTCCTACACCTCCTTGATTGTTCTTGCAGGACGCATAGAATTCCAAGCACTTTCTTCGTATCAGGCTTGGATCGTGCATGGCAATGCCGGCGATGATCTCGAGCACCAAACCCTTGTCCGTGACATCTGTTTCTGGATCGGACAAAACGGTGGCCAGCAACAGGAGGAAATTAATGGGYCTCGCGGTGCCTTGTGATGCCGTTCCGTCTTTCAAACCTGCTGCAAGTTCGTTCTCTGGATACGATAAATCTACCTCCATGGATACCAGGACTGCAAAAAAATCGTCCTTATCGGTCTGGTGCAGGGATATACGGACCATGTTGAACAGTTCCCTCAGAAAGGAAAGGCTCCCCCGCCGGCGTATTCGTCGCGATATCGTTGAATTATCCTGTGGTGCCAGGTGTTGTTTCCATATCGTTGACATTTTCTGTGACTCGGGGTACTTTCCAGAAGCTATGATTGTTGATTGATCGCTAGAAGATTCCTCTTGTTCGCGTTTTGCAATGATAAAATGAACATCCTTCCCTGCTTCTAGATTCTCTAACTCTCTCCATTCGAGGTCGCAAATGTTGTCCATTTCGTGTCCCAATATGCGTATCACCTTGGCGAGGTAGCTATCCCGGAGCAGATCACCCCGGTCGTCCGATTCAAACGGGGACATGGTAACTCCTTTCACCACATCGGCGTGCGTAAACGTTTGCAGAGACGACAGTGTTGACAAGCTGCTCTCGTCCATTGTTGGTCGCAATAGCGTGTCCTTCAAGTAGTTGACACGGAAGGATCGATGAATGGCCCCAATCAATTCTTCRTCTTCCATCAATGCTACSGTGCGGAACTTGGCTCGCTCTCGCAAAAACCATCGGTGATTGGCCTTGTCTCTCAAATCCGGATCGTATTCGAGTGTCGTACAAATGTCTTCAAAAACTAGCTCGTCGTTTACTATCGATTCAAGAATGGAAGGATCGTTTAGCAAAAGAATGTTCTTSACACATGCTGCCAACCTCGTCAGCGAACACAGATCCTGCTTCGCTTCGGCCGGTGGAAACAACGACAAAATCGATTTAAGGTAGTAACAATCGTCTTGACTAATGTGTACCGCAAGAGATTCCCTTTGATGCATGTTCTGTTGGTTTCCGGAATCGAATTGAAAAATTGTTATGAAAAACAAGATGCAACACGGGAGGCAAAGAATGAGTCTGTGGAGCACACGGCACACTTTGGGCAAAAAATGGGGATAGAAAACAAACGTACTTGAATCCTGGCAATAATGTCCGAGATTTCTTCCAGCCTTTCCAGTGTCGGAGGGTTTGGGAGTTGTGGCGCTGCGTTTAGCGAACCGCCGCCAGCCGGAGAGGCCGCATCGTGATAGGCGGCGACTATCCCACCCATGGCGTCTTCGAATTSCTGGTGGCGCGCATCGTTTTCGTCGTTGCCGCCGCCACCGTTGCTGTTGCTGCTGCCTCCGTTCTGCTGGTTCTGTGCCGTGTCCGCCGCGACGTTGGCCCAGAGCTCCTGCGGCTGCAAGTTGGCRTGGAGGGTCAGCTCGGCAAGGGACCGTTCGTTTCCGTTGCTGTCCACAACTTTTYCCATGGCCGCCTTGGAAGCAATGCCGTCGTCGCCCTCCGCTTGGTTGTTGCCATCGCCAACGTGGCTGCCAATCAGGCCTTGCTGCTGCTGCTGCTGCTGCTGTTGTTGTCTCAGGCGAAACTTTTCGTTCGCTTTGGATTGCACCTGGGTGATCTGCCGCCAAATGTCTATGCAGCCCTTGTTGTCCTGAAAGCTCAGGGCCAGRTCCACTCCCTGGGTGGGGTTCCCTTCTTCGAGATACGGCTCGCACCAGGTGATGATGTTGTCCCCCTGTCGCTGATAGGCGTCACGCAGCAAGATTCGGGTCCTCAGCAGGATGCGAGAACCAGTGTTTCGAGCAGAAATCGTTTGCTGGTTGTCGCTGTTGCTGAGATCGGATTGTTGGTGTTGCTGCTGTTGCTGCTGCTGTTGGTGTTGCTGCTGTTGCTGTTGCTGAATCGACGATGGCATGCCGTTTGTAGAAGCGACTTCGGAATGCATGCAAAGCGTTGGTTCGCCGAGTTCGACATAGATCTCGGAGTCGCTGAGAGGGCCGCTGGGAGATTGGGACGGATTGCTCTCCGCGTTCATGGCYWCTTCGCCGTTTCCATTGTGGATAGTGTCCGAMGGAGAGTTGTTGTTCTTTTTCTGTCCCGGTTGTTTTTGTTTGTACAGGCAAAGTATTCTGCCCGTTCCACAGTCGTCCCAAGATCCATCGGCATTCAAGCGGTAGAGCTTGACCCTCCAGCCCTCCGGTTGTTGTTGTTGTTGTTGTTGTTGTTGTTGCTGATGTTGCTGATGTTGCTGTTGCTGATTCTGTATAGGACCATCCTTTTTCTTGTTCGGATCGACCTTGTCATTGCCCCCACTGCCCACAAACAATAAAGTGCTGTCGTTTGTCGGTTTGTTGTTGTTGTTGTTGTTGTTGTTGTTTTGGTCGCCATCGCTATCCCCAACGCCGCGTTCGCTGTCCTGTCCTCCCGCTGCATCCGTTGGTGCGCTTGCAAGCGGTGCGCTGCTGGGAGCGTTCGCGGTGTGCACCGCCTCGTGCTCGTGCTCGTGCTCGACCCTCCCGTGGTGGTTGCGGCCGTGGCGGTCATTCGCACCGGCATCCGTCCCGCCCACGTTGCCGGCAACCACGGTAGACGCAACGGACGAGACGTCGTCCCCGCCATCGGTTGCYGCTGCCGCTGCTGCCGCTTCCTTCCGCACCGCCCCCGCGGGCGCGTCTTCGTCGTCCGAGCTGGAGGACGACCCGGAGAGCGACATCGAAAGCCTGCTGCGGGCCCGCTTTTCTTCTTCTTCGTCGTAGTCCTCCCCAAACACGTTCCCCCGCACCGGCTTGGAGGAGGACGGCGGCGAACCAGCGGTTCCTCCTCCGGCCGCTGCCGCTGCCTGCCGCTTTCGTTTCCGCGCGTGCTGGGGCTGCACCACCATTCGGAAACCGGACCCCGGAACACCCGGGCCAGAACTTTCCTTTGCCTTTGGGGTTGCGTCCTTCGTTGCGGTGGCATCCKCGGTCGGGCCAGCGGCGGCGTTCGCCGGTCGATTCGTTTCTGTTTCTGTTTCGCCATCGGGGCCGGGGCCGTCGTTCGCTCGGTCCCGGCTCCCTTCGGTTGGTCCCGGAGTCGGATCCGGCTTCGGCTTCGGATCCGGATGCGCCGTCGCTTCCGAAGCGGCACCGGAGGCCCCGTCGGTCGTCATCCGAGAACCAAGCGCGAAACTCCCGGTGATTCTATTCTGTCGCACTCGAATCAAACGTCGTGCAGGCTTTGATTCTTGGCATGCAATCGAGGACCAGTGGATCGAAAGGTAGAATGGTTTGGACAATCCCTGTTGTTTTCTCCTCGGACTCTGACTTGTCTGCTACGATATCGTACGTACTCTGGTCTCGGGATTGGTAGAAGGTAGGATAGGTACTGGTATTTAAGGGTGCGCGCGAGTGACGACGAGTGCTSTMAGCATCATTTTTGTCGTTACGACAGTAAAGTACCCGGTAAGTACGGTATTCTGTGAATCGTACCAAAACTCTGGTTGGGCTATTCCTGCGAGCATAGCATGGCAGCGAACAAAAGAAAGAGTTATCTTAGGGACGACGGGTACGAGTACACGTGCTAGGATGAATACCGTACCGTAAAAACAAAAAGAAGCACACTGTTCGSASGATAWCAAAAGTAAGGCTGAACTTCTATCGCACACGCAGTACCATCGAAGACACTACGGTACGTACTACGTACGGCAGAGCCTTAGCTTACGTACGGTACGGGTACGAGTACTGTTCGATAGTCGTACCCTGACTTGTGTTACAAGTACGTTTCATTATTATTCGTGCGCCGGCGACCGACACCATACAGTACGTACGAACATGTGGCGCGAAGTACATTCCGTGAATTGTTACGGCACTTCAGGTAGAAGTAGGAACGTACGGTAGGTACCGTAGCCCAGCTCCTCCGAAAAGTACGAGTGCTCGTACTCCACAACTACGTACCGGCCGACTCGGTGACTTCCTCTGAGGCATCGTAAGTATCCGATCACAGTACGTAAGGTATCCTTCATACTAATAGTCGTACMCGGGCACTACCGTACGGTATGGTCCGGACCCTTTCGACCAACCGGTTTTTCTTTTTAGATATGGTCGCGTGGGATTTGATTAAAAAAGGGGCTTTACGTAAGTTTCTTGCGCGCTCGGCGATTCCCGAATTTCAAACGATGTCCCGTCGGTTGAATGGAACGAAAAGCTTCCACAAATCACGATCTTGAAAAAGGTGAATTGACTACATCACACCCATGCGATCATCTGCGTCCAGTGGGGCGGGTTGAACGAGACCGATAATGATCCATCGACACCGATTTTCTGCCGTCGCCAACAAGCAGATTGCCACAAAAATGGACCCACCACCAGAGCAAAAATCCTTCGACGACAAGTCGGAAATCGATGCCTTCGACCATTGCCTTTGCCCCACCCAGAGCACCCTACTCGGACTCCCTCCACTGTTGCGCACCTCTTTGGCGATTTACCGCGAGATACGGCGATGAAATCCCGGAAGCCTAAGCAAAAAGAGCAAGACTCGGATCGCCAAGGTCATTATGGAAGCGGACCGAACGAGACGAAGGAAAAGAATGGCACGAATRAAGGYGAAAGGCTTTTAGAACCGCACGGGGACAGTGGCGTGAGTAAAATCGAAACGAACACTGCCCGTGACAGAACTGCGAACCTGCACACCGGTCGTGCAACGTTGTCAAACCACCCTGTAACGGCACGCGAAGATGAACATTCCAAACCGCATGCTCCGTCTCCCCACAACCCGCCATTTATCTACTTTCCATTGAACTATTCGTTTCCACCGAACAACCAGCAATTCGAAGCTCCAAACACAAACAACTACAAGTACTATACAGGACCTTCTCACTATCTCCCGGGACACTCTTATCCTCCTCGTCACTACTTTTCGTCTTATCACCCTTCCTTTTGTGCACCAGCCTTTTGTGCACCAGCCTTTTATGCACCAGCTAGAATGGCTCCTTTTGACGACAAGACATACGTTGCTAGCAACAGCAACAGCAACATCCACAAGAACAAAGAGGTCATCCGTCCCCTCGCTGTCAAGACAACGAGCGACAGGACCAATCCGAGGCGACGCGACGAGGAGGTTCTCCCCCGTCCCTCTCCCCMGGCGTGTCTGGCCCCACCCGTGCCACCTCCTCCACCAACGAGCTACAACAGTGGCTTCTTCCTAGATCGCCTGGGCAAGAGCACCCACCGCCACCGGCACTTCCGGTTCTACGACGAGGACTCTTCGGCGGAACGCGCACAAGCACACGGCTACGACCACGACTACGACCACGACGGTTGCACCTCCAGCGCGGCCACCCCGCAGCGGAGCAACCAGTCGGCGACCGTGGCCTCGCGCGCAACCCGCAGCCACGAGCAGSGMMGGTATTCTCCGGTGGCCGTGCCGCCCCCGAGGACCCATCCCTGCGGTTCGACCGCGGGGGATGCAAGAGCAGATGCTCCCCCGCCGGACCATCCCTGCCAACACGACCGGCACTACGGCTATCCCCCCCCGGCCTATTACAGCAGCGGGTGGTACGGCCCCGAGTACGCACCGCAGCCATACCCTCCCCAAGCCTACGACCAGCACTATTTCTCCCCCTCTCCACCGCCACCTCCTCTCCCCGACTACTACCGGCAAGGCTATGCTTCGTCCAACAGCTCGTTCTCTCTTCCGAGTGGCCCGTCGCCTCCGCCGCCAGCGTGGTGCGAAGGAGGAAACGACGAGGGCAGCCGGAGAAGGAGTCCTTGCGTTCGCCACTCTGGCCATCCGGTCTCGACTCCAGGGGGCTTTGGTCGCTCGGGTTGCCCATCGCCGCACACACCCGCTGCGCMAGGATCCAGCGAGAGACCCGAAACACCGTGCTCCGACTMTTCCGAGAACGCGATTTCGAGGGTCACTCCCGTGGGCAAGGACGGAAGGAAAAAGGTGTCCCCCGAAGCCGTGAGGATCAACTTTCCTGCATCCTCGACCAAGGCCATCGTGACCCCCGGCGACAAACGCAAAACGAGCGCCTCGACGTTTCTGCCCTCGCTGCCTTTCGTCGAGCTGAGAGACACGGACATTGTTTGTGGCAGGGGGGCCCCGACCAACTACCACGCCGGAAACGAAGAATTCCGGCAGCTAGTGTCCGAGTAYCAAACGGACTACTTTATCGCCAAGCGCAGCGAGAAACCAAACATCGCCATGAACATCATGGAAGTGCTGCAATCTCGCGGGGCCCGTTTCGTCCGGCGCCAGAAGGGTCGGCGCACCACACCGACACCGCAAGGCGGCAACACGAAGGGCGCGTCGTCGCCCTCCCAGTGGGTGGAGGTTCCGTCCAAAATCGCGTACGAGAAGGTCTGCCAGGCACTGAGGGAAAGAACCTCAAACATCCATAAGCAAATGCTTTCGACTCCCTCTCTCGTGAACACCATGAGAACGAGCAGGATCCAAAAYGTTCTTGGTTGCAACAGCCGGACCCCCGGGCGCCATTCTGGGGGAAGAATCAACAAGGGTGGAACCGCCATCGACGAGGGCAAAGAAAACGGGGATTTGGCGAACTGAACAGTTCTAGGATGTGATCTTTTCTTGAGACCAGTGTATTGGATCGATCTGGATCGGGATCGGGACGATAGGACTCCAGTAMAGATTTGCAGTTTCGGAAATGCTGCTCCAACRAGAGATCCAATACGCTTCTCTGCATCAAGACATTTCGACTGAATACAAGTAATTCGTTCATGCATAAAAAATTGAGATYTAGACTAAGGCTTCATATTTGTATTACATGAGGTATTATACTGGCAGAGACGGTTCAATTGGATGTGATGAGAAAAGTTTTTTATAGTGCACAAGTAGTACGAGTACCACTCTTATCATTCTCCAGGACCGCAAGTTTTCTCTTGACAAGAGAGGTTATTCACTTCGTAGCTACTCGTGATCTTGTCTCACAACTKAAAAGGATGGTAGAAATCAATCCGCTAATCTCTGAACTCGTGATAACCTAATGCAGTACGTAATCATTTCTTCAATTAAGCTGCGATTTCACGATTCGTGAAACTCCAATTATTTATTTTTTATTTAAGGCGTGACACGAGCATTTAGTAACCCGAGATCTACGGGTAACACGATACACACGATCCATCCACGAAACGTTGAATCGCCATAACAAAAACCCTCACTTAGAACCGTGCGTGCGTTGTTTTTTGAAGATCGGAGATCGRACATTTTGACGGGAAAAGTTTCCACCAAAACTTGGATTTGTCACAAGATACGGGAGCGACGAACATCGTTGCTGTTCTCACAATCATTCGCATCGGTTCGCATCCGATGGCACCGAACGTCCACACCGACACCACATCAGKTACKGTCGTTGCGAGTTTCACGAAACTTTTCTGAAACATGAGTTTTTCTTCGTATCTGCCGTGCGGCTTTGAACCGGCTAGTTTGTTCGGTGACGACGGCGATGACAAGGATTCGTGCTCTTCCATCGTGGAATACATGACAAACCTGCCACTGTGCTGTCCAAGCGTGGCAAGGCGAACCGAAGACYATCCCTCCCATCGAAGAGAAATCGCACAGGGCGCGATGGCACAACCTTGGCGGCCACCCCTGTACCGAGACAAAAGCCTCCTTGCCGATGCTTGTTCGCCGAGTGTCGAAGAAGAAAAGGGTTCATCGCCGTCGTCGAAAACTCGGAGCCTTTCAATCGGAGTTCTTGCTTGTGGCAATTCTGTTCCGCCTCGAGAGGACMAGAGTGCCCCATCGACCAACACTGACCGAAACTCTTTGCCTCCCGATTTCATTCCACCGAGGCATCTCTTTTCCCGGCATGTCAATACAAAGCGACACGTTGAATCAACAATAGTCCCGAAAGATTCTTTGTCACAGGGGTTACGGTTACAGCCGAAAGATGTTGTCTGCGGGCGCGGGGCTCCCACTAGCACCCATCCCGGAAACCAGCAGTTCAAAAAAATGATTAAAAAACACGAGATGGAATACGTATGCTCGAAACGAAACGAAAAGCCCATGATTGCGACGAAACTATTGTCAATGCTACAATCCGGTGGCGTCCGATTTGTCAAGAGGGAAAGAAACGAGGAAGGTTCATTGGTATGGGCCGAAATAGGGGAACAAAGAGCTCTGGAAAAGGTTTGCCAATCGCTCCGGGAGGACGCGCCGCATATACGACGCAAAATGGTTGCGTCCTCGGCCCTTCGGTCGACCAGATCAGAGGAACGACGAGAGCACCGAAATCGCTTTCAACAGAGCCGCCAAGATACGAGCAACCAAGTTTCTAGCGAGACGGGCGACATTTATGATGTGCGTCACCGGTCATCACTAGCCACCAACAGTAACGCACGGAAGAACATATCACACCAGATTCAAAACAACGGTGCGTTTCATCACGAAGAGTGCGTAAGCAAGGAATGCAGTTACAATTTAGGCGCACACTATGATGATCCAYATCCGGTCCATATACCTCCTCATCTTGGAGGAGAGAGAATGTTTGGGGATAAGTTTTCTCGGGAATGAATCTGTAGTAGTACTAGCTACTAGTTCTAGTTTGAGAGAGAGGAATCYAAGTGCTGGCAGCGTTGAGGGCAATGCGCCACCCTATTTAATGCTTAGAATACTTCTGCTAGTACCATGCTCAAGATCCTTTTTGCTCATAGTAGTAGATGTAAACCAATAAATTCAACAACAAAATGCATGATGTGGCAGAAGATGATAACCCTCCACAACCATGAAGGTGCAAGATTCAAATAATTATTTCATTCGTGCATATTTTCCCGTTGTGTTGACGAATTGACGTACGACCAGTCAATTTAGTCATCCAAAAAATGATGAGAACGATCTCTGACGCGATGATGTACAGTACCGTACGGTAAAGTACGGTACCGTATTGTGAATTGCTCTATTCCGACTTTTTCAGCCAAATTCAATCAAGCTTCGCACAATGTTACATCACGTTGTCCGGTCAACTCGTAAACGGAAGCTCTTTTTGTGCAAGAAATCTCCYTATGAGCCACACGGAGAAACGACGGAGAACGGAAAAACTTAGAAGTCGCAGCAGCACTTCTCTGTCGTCTGCCACGATCATATTATTGATGGCAACATCAACACGGCAGTTTTTGCCATGTTGCGACGCCTTGGTGTTGCGTGGTCGTAGGTGTTTTGAAAGGAGCTCTTCTCGTGCTCTACCGATTCTGAGAGGAACCACTGCTTTTTCTAGAAAGTCCATATTGAATGGACGCCGTGATTCAACATCTCTTTCGGTGGCTAGGGAAATAGATGAAAACGTCGACAACAATAAGAAAACACCACCGCTTTTACTGCCGTCCCATCCCGATTTCCCGATCACGAGTGTCATGGCACCCATGGTAGCCGCATCCGACTATCCATTTCGCGTTTTTTTGCGGGAATATTGCGGCGTAGATTTGACATACACACAAATGCTGCTTGCCAAAAAATTCATGGCCGACCCAGTTTGGAGAAAGGCTCATTTGGATTTGTACGAAACGACGGATAYCAYAAATARTCTTCCATTGGATCCAAATTCGCTCCACCCCTCTCAAATCGCTTGCATCGGGGATTTTGATGAAGACCAACAGCGGCTACAATCCCTCAACTTACAACCTTTTAGGCGGGAAAAATCGGCTCCTCTMATGGTGCAATTGGCAGGYGATGACGTAGACACCGTGGTGCAAACGGCCATAATGATTTACGAGCACACAGATGGTAAACTTACGGGTATCGACCTGAACTGTGGTTGTCCGCAACAAATTGCAAGCAAGGGAAACTACGGGGCTTTTTTGATGGAGCGKGATCCCGAGCTAGTTAATGAGATATTAGCAGGCCTACGAAAGAACTTGCCGTCAGAGGTTTCTGTATCCGCAAAAATTCGACTACCTCTTGACGACGACACCTTAAGAGAGAGGATTCCCCGACTGATGGACACAGGCATCAACTTTATGACAGTACATGGGCGAACCCTCAAAGAAAACAAGGCGAAAGCGAAAGGTGCCCACATCGATCGCATACGATTGGCTGTAAAATTAGCCCATGAGCTGGATCCAGATTTTCCCGTTATTGCCAATGGTGGAATGGAACATTACGACGACATTCAGTCAATATTGAAATCTACGGGAGCCAGCGCGGCGATGAGTTCCGAAGGACTGTTGGAAACCCCAGATCTATTCATGAAAGAATCAATGGATCCAAAAACACCGGAGGAGCAATTTGATCGTCAACTTTCGTTTGCAAAAAATTATCTTGATGTTTGCTCTCGCGTTGGTCCACCTCTGCCTGGAGTATTGGGGAAGGGCGGCTCTTTCAACGTCGTTCGAGGACACTTGTTCAAGTTTCTGCATCGATATATCAACTCGGACCATCAAGATTTGCGCAACAAGCTGGCCGCTAATGGGGATGACTGTATGAGAACACTTGGGGAAGCAAGAAGCTTGGTAGAGGAACTTGAATCCCGATACGATAATATATCCGAAGAGAAATGGAAGGAACTTGGGTCGTCGTCACCTACGGCYTCTTGGTATCGAAGACACAGGAAACCGGATCGGCGTGTTCACGAACGATCGATACAAGGAATGGGCTATTCTTCGTCCGAGGAGAGCGAACTTTCCGTCAGTGAGCGGAAGCAAAAAATCAAGGAGAGATTAGCGAAAATGAAAGCTCGAAAATTAGCACAGAAAGGAAACGCAAAACAGTTTGTGTAATTTTGCCACACTTACGTTTTGCATTTATATTCAAATACGACCAACATATTCAAAGTAAGAGACTATAGACTAGAAAAATTATTTCTTTCTTGAAAAATCGATGAAAAAGACGATATGAATGACTTCTTATTGCTTCCTTGTAAGATTCAATGTTATTTCTYAAAATTCTATTCTGAATGAACCACCGTCTCTAGAATCACTWTCCAGTGCAGAGGAAGCAACATTCAAACTATTCTCTCTGACATTCTCTTGCAATGACCGTTCGCTACTGCTGCCCTTGGCCAAAATTTTTGAAAATGACTTGTCGTTACCTAGTAGCTTGATCGCCGCTTGTACTTGATCGTCTGTTTTTAAATTGCGTTCCATAATCATGCTTTCAGGAATATACCTTGCAAGAATACTGGTTGCAATGTCTTCTTTGATGTCCTTCTTGTATTTATCAAAGTCCTTCTTTATTTCCTTCACGATTTGTGTCTTCAATTGGTCTACTTCGTTTTCGGCAATCTTGTACCCACTTTGACTCAGAGTGCGTTTCAAATCATCCAACGAGCTGGAATATATTGCCTCTAGCTTCAGATCCCCCGCCTTGCTCTTTGCGTCCACAAAATCCTGGAAGTCTCGATAAATATCGTCCGTTACTTCAAAGTTGTTCGTCAACTCGTACTTTTTACTCCATTGCGACGCATATTCGTTCATTACATCAGATCGCAAGAGAGTGATCTCCAGTGCCGAGGCCTTCGGTGCCGGAATCTTGTAGTCGGCTTCAACTCCACCTCCATCTCTCACGGTTCTACCACTCTTGGTGTAGAAGACCTGTCGATCTTTGTTCGACACTCTGGACGCCGTGTATTTTCCATCGTTTTCGTCACCTACTCCTCCTTCCTTGTAGTTGATACTTTGAATGCATCGTCCACTTGGAGTGTAGTATTTGGCCACAGTAAACTTCAGGGCGGTATTGAATGGGAGATCCTCGACATTTTGAACAAGTCCCTTTCCAAATGTCCTGTCGGTACCGACGATGATTCCGACGTCCAAGTCTTGCACTGCCCCGGAAACAATTTCTGCGGCGCTTGCAGTGCCTCTATTGACCAAGACGGCAAGCTTTGTATTTTTATCGAGCAATGGCTCGGTTCGGCTGCGGTACGTAACTCCTGGAAACCCACGGCCCTTGGCGGATACAATATCGCTACCATTCGGGACAAGCAGGGAAGCAACGTCCACGGCGGACGTTAGCAGGCCACCCGGATTTCCTCTGAGGTCCAAAATCAATCCGTTCAAGCTGTGTTCGCCGTTTGATGCGTCTTCGGCGGCTTGTTCAAGTGCAAGCATGGCGCCCCGGACYTCGTTTCCTGCGCTTTGGGCAAATCCCGAGAGGGAAATGTATCCAATRCCATCCGATGGTTTTCCAACAAGAGTTGCAAGCTTCACATCTCTCAGTCTTACTACAGTTCGTGGCATGGTAACCTCTTGAGTCCCCTTGACACCGTCGCGCTCAAACTCAATGTTYACCATTGTCCCTGGTACACCCCTAAGAACATTTCGTACGTCTTCTACAGTCGTTTTCCCCTTTTCTACGACAAGGTCATCCACTTTCGTGATTCTATCCCCCGTTCGCATCCCATAATCAAAGGCGTATCCCTCAAACGCAGATACAACAGTGATTCCCTTCTCTTGGGCTTTGGCGAGCGCTTTCATTTGCTCTTTTCGTTTCTGTTTAACAAATGGATCTTCTTCTTCGTCATCATCGACGTCATTRTTTCGGTTGTCAACAAATTTGTTGCTATTATCGCTCTTGTCATTGTTCGACGATTGACTGTTRCTATCCATGGAATCTTGAATGGCGTCATTCGGAAGCAGTTTGCTTCCACTGGGCATGCTTTCTTTCTGCAACGTCGAAGAAGACGATCCCTCTCCTGCGCCGCCGCCCGCCATCTTTTCTATTTCTGACATATCCCTGGGAGTAGCCCCAGAAATTACCAAACCAACGCCACCGTATCTGCCCATGATTCCCTCGGTCATCTGTTGCGCCTCTTCCTTCGCTTCAAATTCCGTGTACGGATCGAGCGATTTCAGCATGGCCGAAACMCCCGTTTCAAAAAGCTTGTTCGTGTCGACGGGATCCACGTAGCCAGCGTCGAGATCCGCGAGAATGGTCTCGAACAAAGTGACGGGCTGCGACAACGATTCGACACTGGAGTAGACGGGAACCAAAATAGCTCCCAGCGTCAACACAGCTCCCGCTGAAAAGGAGAGAAAGGCGATTTTGAGGTTTGGCAAGGCCGAYTTCAATTTGGCAAATACCATTGCGAGGAATTCAACTAAGGGCGCAGGAAGAAAAGAAACAATTTTTTGCGACACCTCTTCCTTRATGCCTTCGAATTTTGATGCAAATTTGTACCATATTGAATCTTCGTTGTCTTCGCCATTAGCGRSGACTGCCTTATCGTCGTCRTTTTTYCCCTTCTTGYTGCTCCCAAACCAGCTRCTCATTTTGTTCGATTTGGCATCGTTTTCTGTACTTTCTCCGTCRGATCCATTTTTATTTTTATTCCAAAGCCCAAGTGCCGTCGACGGCCGTCTCGGCGATGAAGAAATCTCAGTCGAAGAAAATCTAATCTTTGAAACACTACCAGTCGGAATCAAGCAACGGCATCATGAAAATAAATGGGCACGAAAGTTCCAATTGAGGAGAGAAATTTCACATTAAACCTTRAATAATTTCCATTTCTGAATCAGCCATGTCTCACTCACATATCTCTCTGGAAACCAAGCTTTCTGGATTCTTTTTTTCCGGATCCATCGTTCGGAAAGGATGCCATAACTAATAGGTTTCGATGTTTTCTTCTCGCCACACATGTCGTGGTAGACGGGAATGACGTCATGGGCAGTGTCGACCTCGGCGTATAAGTATATGTCGATCTGACTGCTGGTGGAGAACTCTGCAAGGCTCCCACTTGGCTTGATGCAAGKAAGATCCAAGCGAGCCAATGACAAGAGACCAGCATGAGAGCAGAGGYAGAAATCATTTTCGCCATTTCTAATCTCTGGGTTCGCGCTGTACAAATATGCGTTTCGTTAGAAGAAAATGTCACCTTGTCAATGCCGGTGAAACTGAGTGCCTTTCTTTCCGATACTGTTAGAAGTATGTTGTGTTACGTTGCGTTCGCTTCGCCTTTTTGTCGGTTTTTGGTCGGTTGGAACAAAAGTACGGTACCAATTCTAAATTGTAACTTTGTGTGAGGAGAAAAAGACCGACGACCTTCGACTGACGATTTTAAGAATAGATTCTAAAAATTGAGAGAAGAAGGAACGAATGATGGAGTAGGAATAATTGTGATGACGGTCCAAGAATATGGTATTTCGGTTGTGCCTATTCTTGCAAAACGAAAACAGAAACCGGAATAAGAACACGCAAAAAATGATGTGATGGCAGATGCCTGCCTAGCATGACTCGTACTAGCAGAAGTGAAGTTGGATCCCCCCGTTCGAGATCATTCTGTTCCTCTGACCAAGGCGTCAGCAGAGAAAGAATAGTTGTGCGCGACACGACATCGCCTCCGTCGAGAAGAAGGAATAAGAATTTCTTTCAGTTCAATCCCGCTAATTTTAGATCACGCATATCGTATGACACAACACACAACACGCTACTATTCCAAACATAGTGCTTTACAATACGTACGGTACCATTTCAAGTTTACTCGTACTGTTATACACTGTACACTACGTCACACAAAACAACCGTTTATTAACAGTAACTAAACTATGTGAACGTGAGCAAGGGGACCTCGACTTATTCACAACGATCAAACGTTTTGAACTGATACAAGATGCTCCTCTACAGTAGCATACAATTGTGAACACTTAATTTGATTGTTTAGCGAACTCCCTACCATGGGGAATCAAATGCTCGTTGGATCGATTAGGTTCCGGTCGATATCAAAGAGAATAAAAGTCATAAGTAGATGAATCACCTGAGAGCAACAGTAAAGACGAAAGGAACATCTCTTCGGTGAGCTGCATTCCCAAAGAAAAAATTCACACAAATGGTTGTGAAAACAGAATGTTGAACTATATTTTATCGACACAATTCCAGMATTTTATCGTCGTTCCTCTCGCCTCATTCTATGATTTTTAGTTTCGATGGAAGAAAACACAGACGACAAGTTTGCTGCCCCCTYTAGGCAGTTACGAGAGGAAGAATCGAATGAACATTCGTCTAAATGCGACCGGTAAGCAACTTCGGTGGGGCAAACACCAGGTCCAGTTGGACCAGCGGCAAATCCCTGCAGTACCATTCGGCAACGAAAGTCATGGATTCGATCAGCGATGGTATCGACCGCCCCGGATTGGGTAACGTTTCCGTGCCAGAGTCGTTCGGCTACGGCAGAAGCCCGTGGCCAAACCCTTGACACGAAGTTTGAGGCATCCACGTGCTCCCCCCACATCGATGCGTGCCCACCGATCATGAGATCTTTGTTTGCGCCGGTGAAATTTCGAGGATCGCACTTGTAGTACGTAAGCCAGGAATCACCAAGGTGATCGAGGTACCAACACCCACTAAGAATCACTCGGTGGTTTTGATTCGTTGCGTTTTGAATTGTGTATTTATCAAAGCCTTTCCAGACGTCGATAATTGTGTTTTGAGGGATCGTTAGGTTCAGATTGAAGACTTCTTGCCAAACGATTGGCGTTTTGGAAAGTTTGGCTATGGTTTGGAAGAGTCGGGTTTCGAAGTACTCGTAAAGCTCCACCGTTCTGTTTCTCATGCCGTGGTCTTTCATCCATTTCACAATTGAAGGATCCTTGAGCCAACAATGCTCACTCAATTGAACCTCGTCGCCCCCCAGGTGGATAAAATCGTCTGGGAATACTTCGTTCAGATCTTCGTATACGGCTTTCACGAAATCAAAAGTCTCTGGCACCGTTGGGTTGATTGGCTCCGAGGGATGCGGACAATGACTCATGACCTCCGGATGCGACTTGGCAATTGCATTCGTGTGCCCAGGCATATCGATTTCAGGTATGACCCGGATACCTCGCAGGTAAGCCTCTCGGATTATGGTTTGCACATCCCGCAGGGTGTAGATTCGCTTTGGATGGTAGGCTCCCTTCTCGGCTAGCTCTGGCATGGTCTTGGGTGCGTACGGGAAGGATTGGGTATCCGAAATATGCCAGTGCAATACATTCAGCTTGTTCATCTCCATGGCGTCCAAGTTCTCCAGTATCAAATTCAGGGGGAGGTAATGTCGGGACGTGTCAATCATCAGTCCGCGATACGGGAATGATGGCTTGTCAAATATGAATAGAGGGATGTCTTTAATGCAGAATACCCCATGAGCTGTAGTGTCGCCTCCACTTATATCATTTGACAGTGCCTCTGAGTGTTGGCTATCATCCATCCAACCGAATTCAATCAGTTGACCCAGCGTCTCCAAAGCCCGTAGAACACCGAAGACAGTCGAAGTTTTCAGAGTCACAACGACATAACGATCGTTCGAACCATAGATTCTAGAAGATGAAGCCGTCGTTATGGAAATGTTGTAATCTTCCGGAACACCATTGTAGAGTTTGACGTCTGGAGATTCTACGATTATTTCAACTTGTGGTATCGGTAGAAGGGGAAGATCCAAGGGGTTCACAATATAATCTTCTTTAAAATCGGGAAAGCGAGTCAAAGATTTCTTGAAACGGAGAATCGCCGGATGCAGAAAGTCTTCGATCTCGGCCGTCGACACGGTTGGTCGTTTTTTGCTATACCTGTTGCTGCCCGATCCACTAATGGACACTGCGAACGTGATGTTGTTGCTGTAGACGAGACCAAGTACTGGAGGTATATTCTCGGGATTGTACGACTCGGTCTGCGCCGCCGGAAAGACACGATGATTTCTAGCATTGCTGCCAATCGCAAGAAGGAGGGCCGTGCTTACTGATCGAAGCAGTAAACTGGAATGTGCTATCATTGTCGCGCTTTGGAGTAACGAAAGCAACGTAGCATAGAGCATTGGTAATCATGGATCCATAATGTTCAGAACATCTTCATCAAAAAAGATTTTTTCAGATTTTTCTGTCGTTCGTGTGTCGTCCGGAAGATACCAGTACAGGCACCTTACATGACGTGTGATGTGTTATGTGAAGTGTGAAGACAAGAACAAACATACTAGAAGTACTATCAGCTAGTACTAAAGTAATAATTGCACATACTATTCGTAAGTATATTACAGTATTTTGTCTCGTACCGTACTTTCGTCTAAAGTACAGTACGTACCAGATTTGTACCCATGTTGTGCTGTACGAAGTACTACGTAGTAGAAAATAGAAGTACTTCGTAGAAAATACGTCCCGTTGTTTCACCCATCAGTAATGATTCATAATCAGTAATGATTCATAAACAGCTTTGTCGACAAGATCCAACACGACTCTTGACACCATTATCATCGCCATCGACAAAAACAAAAGATACAAGGATGATAACACTCCTTGACGCTCGGTGTGATTCGCTGACTTTGACATGGGAAGCAATCCCTGGGGCGAAACGATATATATTGGAATTAAAAACGAATGATGACGAGGGTTTCAGACAGCTCTCCTCAAACCTAATCCAGCCGCAGGCAAGAAAGAAAAATCTCATTTCCGAAAAAAATCATAAATTTCGGGTTGCCCCGGTGTTTTCTGACAACGAAGAAACAGAAGTAGGATCCTGGATCTCACATGACAATGCATTCCGAACGCTTTCCAAGGAAGAAGACGAGAAGTCGATKGAAGCGCCCACGACTTCTATTGCTGGAAATCAGGCGCTTATGGTGAGTTGGAAACCGGCCAGCAGCAATGATGAAAACACATATGAGCTCCAAATGAGAGAAAACAAGGGAGGGGAAGCCTGGAAAACTATAGCGGCCTCTCTGACGGGGACAGGGGCAAAAAAGAAAAACCTGAGCTCCGAATTGGGCTACCAATTCCGGGTGCGGCCCGTAGGACCCTCGTTGTCGGTTTCTTTTTCTCCACCATCCGAACCCTCTGTTGCCAAGGGATTATCAAAGGCGTTGAAACAACGCTGGTTTAGCACACTCCAGAACGGAACACTTCTTAAGAATGGGACGAGTGCAGTTGTACCTCTAGCCGACGCACTTGGTGGGAAAGAATTTGTCCTCTTCTACGTCAGTGCACACTGGTGTCCGCCCTGTCGAAAATTCACACCCATGCTCGCCAACTRGTACAAGACCGTGGGAAAGAATTTCGTCGAGGTTGTCTTCTTGTCGGCGGATCATGATGAGGATGGATTCCGGAGCTATTTCCAAGCCTCTCATCCATGGATGGCCATTGATTTCGAAGACGACACACGAGAACGACTAATGGCAACCTTGAAGGTATCTGGAATCCCTCGATTGGTTGTTATCGATGCCAATACTGGAAACATTGTCGAGGACAATGCTGTGGACAAACCACTTGATTTAAATCAATGGCGGATGGCATGTAGATAGACAAGCGAAGCCGTGACCGCTACAAAGTTGACCACAAGTCTACGCAGCTGGGACGTCGTACAACATCGAATTGCGTATGCGTTTTGAATCTCAACAACGAGCACGAACTTCGAATTTCACTCATAATTCTGAAAAAATTTTAGTATTCACAAAATGAAATGCCAGCGAATCTTTTATTCTGATTTCTCAGAACGCTTTGTATAGTAATAATAGAATCGCCAACGCTAGGAGAGATCGCGAGTTTTGAATCAAGCTATTGATGTAAGCATAAGTCACACTTTTTTATTTTGCATTGACTTTTTCTGCTTTCGTAGAAAATTTTAACCATTGTAAGTCCAGCATCCTGCAGACACAGATGAAAAGCAACCGAACAGTTCCAAAGAGACATGTACCGAATTTGGGGGAGGAAGTTGTTTCTCAAAAATCGCATCTTGGTTTTGGTATCCCCCAATCGAGTACTTAGAAGTACGATACATGTCTGGCCTTCATACGCTTAACTTTGGTCGTATCTATCGGGGATGTCTTTCGAAAACTCACAGTACAGTAATACAGTAAGTACGTATGGTACAGTTCGTACCGTGTATCGGAGCGTCGAGTAGAAAAAAAGAACTTCTTCGAAATGTTTTGAGTCCCGTTTCATACTATCCTTCATCATATGTAACGTAGATACGATGCATGCGTCAAATTCTCTTTTGGTTAGAAAAAGAAGTCGATCGAGGCCCTGAGGCCAACAAAAATGCCGAGAACACAATTTTAAAATCTCATACGGTATGAACCTTACGATCATCCAAGAGCCTGACAGACAAACTGGACAACAACAATCTTATACCGACAACATTGGTATTTGACATAACACTTGTACTATCGAAGAAAAACTGTTGAGACGAAAAAAACACTGACAATGGCACCAAATTTAAACTCAGATGACTACTACCAAATTCTTGGTGTTCCAAGATCAGCKGCAGATGCCGCAATCAAGAAAGCATACAAAAAACTCGCTGTAAAGGTACGTTCTTGACATCATGCTCTGTCGTTCTATTACGTAAATTTGATACTGACTTCTACGGAGTCACAACATTCGGAGATGTGGTGTTCGATTTTGGTTCTCGTTKTCTCACTTTGTTGGCCTTGCCTCCCTTTTCTACTTTACCAGTGGCACCCCGACAAAAATCCAGGAGATGAACAAGCAACGAAAAATTTTCAAAAAATCAGTGAGGCCTACGCCACGCTGTCGGACGAGAAAAAGAGAAAAATATACGATACATACGGAAAGGAGGCAGCAGACCAGTCGGAAAATATGCCCGACGGCCATCCAATGGGTGGAATGGGTGGCTTCGGAGGTATGCCCGGAGGCTTCAGTTTCGGTGGAGGAGGTCGTGGTGGACATGGGATGAGTTCTGACGAAGCGCAATTTTTGTTCAGTCAATTCTTTGGCGGCTCAGATCCATTCGGTGGAATGGGAGGCATGGGAGGACGTGGAGGACCCGGAGGCATGCACATTAACTTTGGAGGACATCCTGGAATGGGTGGAAGTTTTGGAGGCATGGGAGGTATGCCTGGAATGGGAGGATCTGGCTTCGGCAGCAGTTCAAGTCGACGTGAACCAAAACGATACGATGCGATCCCAGTGGGAACAAATGTTTCATTAAAAGGACTTGTCAGCAAACCAGAGAAAAATGGTGACCGCGGGGAAATTATGCAATTTGATCCAGCTACAGGTAGATACTATGTACAGATTGAGGATACAGGTGAAACTATTGCAGTGAAGCCATCGAACTTGTTGCAACACGTGCATGTTAAAATTCACGGTCTTGGGAGTAGGGTAGAGTTGAATGGCCAAAAGGCCACAATTCTGGCATGGGATGAAGGCAAAGAGCGATACAATGTTTATATCGCGAACAATCCCACAACGAAATGTATTAGTTTGAGACCTACGAATATAGTGCTCGAAAACGGTACTGTCGGAAGGATAACAGGCATTCAATCGAAACCGGAACTCAATGGTAAATGGGGAACTATCAAAAGTTTCAATGCTAGTACTGGAAGATACGATGTTCAATTGTCAGAAAGCAAATTCCTCGCTCTCAAATTGGACAACATCCGCCTTTAATGAATAAGTTGTTATTTTATAAGAAAGCTAATTTTTGGACCACAATCATATTTTCAATAGTTTCGTACACAAACAAATGTTCTCGTATTGGTTGAATCATAACATAATGGTATTATTGATAATCACAAGATGCAAGTGCGATTCGCTCACTTTTTAGTGTCAACTGAATTCTTCTAAAGAAGCTTCACGGAGTCGATGACAATGATTTCACATAATAACCAATTTCGGAAGCTCCTCCACTCCAGAAGGGATTCCATCGATGGCCAACATCGCTGTAACCTTCGCTCTTGTACAGGTTAAGGGCCGCCGGATTGTCTTCGTCGACATGCAAATACATACGATTGTAGCCCCAAGAGTTCTTGGCGATATTTTCTACGCATCTCACTAGCCCTCGTCCAATCTTTTGACCACGAAATTTCTCGTCTACACAAAGATTGCTTAAATACGGTTGCATATCGTTGGTTCCCGCTCCATTGCCGTTGTTTCCCAAACCGATCAAAGAACCAATTCGTCGTTCTACACGGTCCAACCAGGGTATACTGAATGGAATTTTTGCATCACACGGTTGCAATCGAAGCTCGATCGATGCAATCACCTCTATCGATCTGCTGGCATCATTTGATGGCTTTCCCAATATTAATACAAGCGAGTCACGTTCAGCTTTTCGGATCTGTTCCTCTCGTGATAGCCCTTTTAGATCCGGTGCAGAAATGTCGACCAGGGAAGGATTTTCCTGAAATCGATCTGCCAACCTTTGTTTCGTCCCAGAAAAGACTTCAGCAAATGCCACCAACCCAGAGTAGCCATTCAGAAATTCTGCTGCTGGATTTAGCAACATTCGTTCGAAACTGTTCATATCGGATGCTAACTGAATTGCTTCGGCTCCGAATGCCGTAATGATGAATTTGCAGAGGTCAGGCAATTCCTCCTCTTCGACCAGCCCTAGTTCATAGCGATCAGAGCCATCGCTACTACCGTGCCTCGCAGAAAAAAATCCCTTATCGTCTATGCAGCATCTGTATTTCTCGGACTCCGAAAAGAAAGAAATCGACTCGTCGAATTCCGCTAGGGGTGTTAAAAAACGACGCGATGACGACGAAATCCTGCACTTAGACTGGCTTGTCCTTCCTTTTGGACGAAAATGGCACTGATCAATAAATGCGAAACCAATAGGAATCAGACATAAGAAAGTTAGTATGTTGATCATTGTTGGCAGTCTGATTCCAAATTTGTGGATGGCTGCTGTGGGTGTCACGATGGATGCCGTGTTCCACCGTGTTGAACCGCTTGGATTCATTTCAAGTGGTCCATTTTTGACGGATCTATCGATCAAAAAAGTCGTACCGGTACAAATTGGATCGTCGGATTCATTCAGTCAGGGATGAAGAACAAATACGACTCCCCGTGAAGTACGTACCGTACGTTCCAACTTGTCCGTCCCTACCAGTAGGTACCGTACTAATACTCAAAGGAACCATGTCGATTTCAATTTTTTGGAATAAAAAATAGATTCCCAGGCCCCCCTCCTGGTACCGAAAATTGAAAATTGTGATCAGTTTTGATCACAAAAAAATGTGATCAGAAATAACAAATTTGTGATCAGTTTTTTGTGATCAATTTTGATCACAAATTTGAACTAATTTGTGTACATTTCATACTAGTCCCATTTTTATATTAGATTGTCCATGTTACCCTGCACAATGGTGAGCTTCTGTTTTGACAGCCAGCAGTGCTTGTTGTGATCACAGGCCTTGGGGGTTGTTCTTTTGTAAACAAGGAGCTTTGCTTGGTGCCTTGCCTTCTTGATCTTTGCCTTCCTCCTGATTAACTTTGTCTGCTACTTTGGATTGAGAGGAACAAGAAACAGTCCCCAGTTGTACCATGTCATCACTGAGTCTGGGGAACTGTCAGGGCATCAACACCACTAGTAGTACTATACATCTTTGTGTAGTTCTTTGACAAGGAAGTCTGGTGTTTTCAGCAGTTGCTTGTAAGTTTTCTTCCATCCTTGTTTATTGCTTTTTGCAGTAGCCTCCATTTTTTTATGGGGTTGCCTCCCTCAGAAGATGTATTGATCTTGATTGATTCTAGGAGATGGAAATGTGATTGATGCATTATGTTAAAGTATGGAGAAATTTATCCACCACTGTTCTTTCTGACTGACTGGAGATCGAGCTGCTCCTTCATGATGTTACTAGCGGCAAGGTAGCTCATTGTCAATTGTCGGACTCAGAGGAGTCCTCACAATCATTTTATCCCTAGTACTTCCTACTAACATAGATTGGACCAATCTAATGGTACTACTAGAACTCATAGTACTACTAGTAGTACTACTAGACACCAACAGCGGGACGACAGAGTCAGATCAGTCAAACAAGGCCCTAGAAGCAGCTGCAAGATAGACTTTGCCATCAGATGCAATCACCAAGATGCTAGTGATGCACTTCTCTGTTACGAATTCCTTTCAGTAAAATATACTACCAGCAGGTATGACCCATTGATTTTTTAATAGTTTAGAAGATGACAACACTTCAAGCACTTTACGATGAATTCATTCCATTCAGAGCAAGCTCTTTGTTTCCGACATTTCTTCACCACTTTCACAAATAATTCAGTCTTTTTTGGCGGCATCTTTTTTCAAACCACGTTTCCTGATTCCAAGATGCATATTCATAATAATTTTAGACACGAGAGAGTTTGGCATGATATCAAGTATCCAGCCTTGAATTGCATGCAACAAAAAGGGAGACACAACACAATCCCCGTAACCAACCCACTTGATCGCCATAGCAACAAAAGCGGGTGGAGTGGGAACCATCAAACTCTTCCTTTGCTTTGCCAACTTGGTGGCAACGTAAAAGGGAATTTGACATTGACAAGTGATACCCTTGGATTTGTATTCCGCATTGAGTGCACGGGAAAACTTTTCGATGAAACTCTTCGAGCCAGAATATTCCGCCAAGAGAGGCAAATCATACATGGCTGAAGCAGATGAAATATTGACAATGGCTCCCTTCTTTCGCTCCAACATTCCCGGAATCACCATTCGCGTCATCCACACGGTACTGTCAATATTCATGGTCATCAAATCTTGAACTTCGCTATCGGATAGCTCGTGAAAGAACATGGGGTAGCGATAGCTAACACCGACATTGTTAACCAAGACTCCGACTTCCAATTCCTTAACAACTTTAGCCACCTTCTCTTGTGCTGCTTTGTCAAACTTGGAATAATCACAAACCAAATAGGAAACTTCTACTCCACTGTAATTCTTCGCTTCGATTTCTTTCTTCACATCCTGTAGTTTGGACTCCGTACGACTGATCAAAAGGATGCTCATTCCCTTCTTAGCAAAGGCAAAGGCGTATGCTTTACCGATACCATCTATCAATCGTCATGAAAACAGACGTGTTCCCAAGCACGAAAAAATTAGTACAAGTGCGTGTTGCAGATAATACAGACAAGGGAAGACGCAATTTTTTTCATCCGACAACGAAAAGACTTTGTCAATCCTCGGACTGAGGAGAAGTTCGTGGCGCTGCACTTACCCGTTGCTCCGGTGATAACAGCCCATTTTCCATACTTTTTGAAGTTTTTCGCTGGTCGGAGAAATGTCTTGTAGAGATTYGACACTGCCTTCAWACAGAGATTAAGAGCGGCGAGGGCAACAATGCCGCACGAAACGTTTTCAAAAGTTAGAGAATCCATTGGGTATTTTACGTAAAATTGGTTGCAAAATTTGAAGTCTGAGATACTTTGGATGGGAAGAGAGCAGATGAGAACTCAAGAAATGATGTTGAATGCGGTAAAATACGAGTAGTTTGCSTATCGGTCAGTACGTACTTTACCGTATCAGAATCCAAAATAGACRACGTTTTCTACTCTCAAAACATCTCGCGCCATGGAACTGGTTTTGAAATGGACGACGACTGACGACTGAATCCTTTGTCGTTGTCGTCATCGAAAATGACAAAAGCAAGATAAATAAAAGTGTAACAGTACCATATGTAAGGTATGTATTGTACATACGTAACTACCGTAACGATGAAGTTGTTGCACTTCATGGCTCGTACTACGGTAGTACGAACGCAACGATACGTTCCGAGAACGATTTACAAGTACGAGTACGTTTTACGTTTACTTTTTCTCTCAAATTCTGACAGAAAAGCGAACTTGCTCCTTGCAATCATCAACAGTCGAGATTCGACATTACATTTCTCAGAAGAGATCTCGTATCGGGAGATTCTAACGATGAAACAATGCGTTTGGTAGATTTAACTCTACAACAGAAACCACTGTAGTAGACTACAATGGGTGTCGTCATTGTTACTGAACGGCTACGTCTGGTACAAGCGTTGGCCATCGTTGTCGCTGTTTTTTCACCGCTCACCACGCTTGGAATGGTGGCGGAAGACTCGAGCAGGCAGAAGCAGTACGAACGCATGCAGAAATTGTTGCTGTCAGACGATGGCTTAAAGTCTATCTCTGCTACTACATCGCTCCAAGATCACATCAGGGTTCAAGAAATGCTGAAAAATCGACACGCCCGAAGAAAACCTCGCCTCGACGCAAAGGATYCTATATTCAATACGGGTTTCGATGACAATTTTGACGATTTGGATCGTAGGGAGGACGAGCTTTGGTTGTCACTCCCGAGAAAGCCTAAGAAAAAGCCAAGTATGATTCTTCGGAGTATGATTAATAGAAAAGAACAGAAACGCAGTAAAACTTCAACCGCTGGCAGCTCGAGAAGCAAAAAGACAACCAGTCCAAACGGGTTATTTATTCCATTCGAAGATACCTTACAAGCGCTGCAAGCCTTCCACGACGAACATTCCCACCTAGTAATACCACGACGATTTGTGGTCCCCGAATCTTCCTCATATCCTTCTGTATGGCATGGTATCGATTTGGCGGGAACTGTTTACACCATGCGGTGGTGGCAACGTCACGTCAAAAACCAGCCGGATCGAGTAAGTGAATTAAATCGAATAGGTTTTGTTTGGGAAAGGCTTCAACCGGAGTGGAACTTGATATTAGAAAGCTTGATCATCTACAAAGCCATATTTGGCAGTACATTGGTCCCATCAACTTTTGTCGTTCCAAACGACGATAATCGATGGCCGAAAGCTTGCTGGGGGATTTCGCTTGGAAATTCAGTCTACAAGATTCGTAACAGGGGTGATTATCTTGGAGCGAGGAATAGCAATAGTCTGTCCAGAAGAGCACAGCTTGATGCTATTGGATTTGTGTGGGATGTTCAGGAACTGCGTTTTTCAAAGTTTACGACTGCACTTGAACTTTATGGCAAAGTTGAGCAGCACCACCAGGAGTCAAATCATTCAGGCGCTCTCAAGGTTCCCTCGAAGTTTGTCGTCCCTCGAAGCAGTCGTTGGCCAACTGACATGTGGGGTTATCCCCTTGGTGAACGATGTACGCAAGTACGGCAAAAGGAGTTGTACATAAAGGGACATCCCGATCGAGTTAGGATTTTGGCAGACCTGGGTTTCTATACTTCGGGAGGTAATAACAATYTACGATGGCTAGAAGTCGTTCATGCTGCTGCAGTTTATTCGCAAATGAACAATAATCAACTTGACGTCCCTACGAAGTTCGTAGTTCCAGCACCCCCTCGTCGAGTTGTAGCAGCTACCGAAGACGACGAAAGTGAGGAGGATTCAGGGGCTTCACGCCTAGTAGGGAGTGACGACGCATGGCCATGGCCTGGTAAGTTTGACAACGCAACAGTACATAAGRASTGTGACATTCTCTTCAAGTCTTAYATTTACTGAAGGAGAAAAAAGCAAACTCAYGGTATTTTTTGTTCAATTGAAAAAACCATGGTAGAATATCTTTGGAACTTTCCACTTGGTCAAAGGCTTCGTGACATTCGTGTCAAGGGAAACTATTTGAAAGGGGAGAACGGGGATGCCCGTCGAAGACAACTTGATGCACTTGGCTTTAACTGGGAGCCCAAACGGGGGCGCCGCCTATACAAGGATCGAAATCCTGGATAGGAAGAAGTGTATGCGTTGTTTTCGTGAAAGAGACAATTCTTTCTATTGTTTCTCCTGTAGTGCACTAGATTACATTTCCTCCGATCTCTATACAGAATCCCTTTACTCAGCAGTTCGCAGTGCTCACTACTACTATGACAAACCCACTAGTAAGCACTGATGGAGGTTTTCCAGTATTAGTTCTGAAGTAGTAASCAATGAAATTACCTATCCAGTAGTAAGGACCATTAATAGAAATATTTTTGGACGGAGTTTATGTGTTTGGAAGGGGGGAGAGGGGAAATGGAGACGGGAGAATGAAAAGAATGTGTTGGCCCATGCGTGTGCATACCCCTAATTTTTTCAGGTACGAGTTTGAGTGCGAAACAAGACTTTTAATTTCTACAGGTTATGAGTGCAGTAAAAACACACCAGTTTTCACACAGAGAGCTATGTTATCTGCTCAGTTCACTTAAGAAGAGGCAAACAACAAAGCATTGCAAAGAAGAGTACAACGGTGCATGGAAAGGATGGTGAAGGGCCCTCCTAATTGTCTTGGGTGTTCCTTTAGTATGTCCTCAAAGAAGAAGCAACCAGAATTATCAGCTTTGACCTCCTCTACTAGTAAGGAAGTGGTAATGTTAATCAACTTGGAAGAGCTTGCAAACCTATCAGGCCTAAAGGTGGAGGAGTTGAAAGCAAAAATATCAGTTCTCACTAAAAACACCAACCCAACAGCAACATCAGTTATCACCACCAATCCACCAACAGCAGCAGCTGCATTGCTACCAGCAAAGAGCAAGGATGATACTAGTCTTGCTGATCTGCAGAAGGGGTCCCTTGCACCAGTCCTGTTAAAAGAGAGTCCAGATACTCCTAAACAAGGTGATATCAAGACAGTGAACAAGTTCTTGCAAAATGTGCTCATGATGATGCATGCAACGCTATTGCAAAGAAAGTCAGGTACAAGCAAGAAACTTTGCTGCAAAACTGCCATTAATCTGTTGTCAGTATTGTATCTCAGGAGGTTAATTTGCTGTACAACACATCGCTGAAGGTAAACACAGTGCAACAACATTTAAGAGACAACCTCAGAGCCCCAGTAAAGGGACATAAAAGTTCTTTGCTTCTGCAATCTATTATAGTTGCACTTGATACAGTACACAATATAGTACTTAAATCTGGGATTAGAAGGTCTTTGATGCCTATTAGCATGTATTGTCAATAAGAACTGGTAATTACTGCTAACAACAGGGACATTCAATACTTTGTGGCTCCTCCACCAATAGAAGGATCTTATGCTTGTTGTTGCTCTTTGAGAAMAAACTTCTCATTTTCCTTTCCCCCTTCCTGGAAAGAATTGGGTTGGTGAGAGATCTACTAACCYCCACTGGACTTGCAACATGTTGATCCTTGACTTTGCAAACAAGACCAGTAGTTGAAACAAGCAATCTTCAAAGATAGCTCTAGCTTCTCATAGACTGGCTGAGGGTTCCTCCTTTGTTCTTGCTTTCTTCTGCCTATTTTCAATGATGATGATCCAGCTCTTGCCATCATTGCAAAATTAYGAGAACATCRTCAAAGAACCAGGMGATGCTTGYTTTTGCTTTTAGTTTCACTATTTTKCTGCTACTATTACTCCTATTGATGTTGCCAGGGATGCTCTGAATCAAGTTGCTGTTGCTGTTTGTGAGTTAATTATAGGAACAAGCAATCCTGGAAGTTTAAACAACTAGTCCTGGGACCACCACCATTGTCAACAAAAATCTCAGACTATTGCTAAATATGACCGTTACCAGAAAYRTTACCATACCAGATTGCTACCATAAAGTACCACATTGCCACCATGAATCTTACCATAATATATGCTCTGCTACCAGAAATTTTTTGAAAAGTTCCCAGTTCCCCTGAAGTCTGAGTACAATCTTGAGATGACAGGATTATTCAAACACCTAGCTACCCTCTGTTTAGCAGCGCCTACCACCTTGATTCCTGTTGCGGGTCTAGTACATGGATCATCAATACCTCACGTCCCTGAAGAATATTTTCAGCAATCTTCGTTTGGTTTGTTCAAAATACAAAATACAGCAATCAAAATCACTTTGCGAAGGCCTTCAAAGCGCTCTTTGCGGGATTACAATAATGTGATACAGTAAGACCGTCATTCTTACCTCATTAATCCTTGCAAAATCTGTGGTACAACCAGGCCAGTAATTTTGCGTTCGCTCAATACTAGAATCTACTTTTTGTCATAAAGAAGTAACCATAAAGACGTAACATAATGCTTTAGGCGACCTATCGAATACCGGCAGAGGCAAGATAGTTCTAACCGTAAACTTTGATTTGCAAACCTTTAAATCGGATTCCTTCCTTTATTCATCTTCGGCGCCTGATATTTCCGCCTCCGTAGGGTCTGCTCTCGTTATTTCTCCTATTTCTTTCTCCACCACGATGGTCATCTCCTCTTCCACTTCCTCCGCCTCTGTCGCCACCACGATAGTTGTCTCTGTCACCAGATCTGTTACCTCTTTCTCCATCAAATCTTTGCCCTCTGTTATCTCCACGATAGTCGTCATCGTATCGCCCTCCTTCTCTTCTAGCAGGTGGGCCATCTGACCTTCCTCTATATGAAGCATCGCCACCAGGTCGCCCTCTTGATTGCTGCAAATCTTCACCCCACCTTCTTTGTTGCACACTATTGTTGCGTCTTCCATATTCTTGATTGTTTCTTCCTCCGTCGTCCCTTCTGCCGCGTTCTTGATTGTTTCTACCGCCAAGATCGCCTCTTCTCCCGCCGCCGACTCGATTCTGAGGTAGATGCGTCTCGCGAGGAACTCGATTCTCTTCTACTTGATTAGATTGGATATTTTTGTTGTTACTCTTGTAATKCCGATGCCTGTCATCTGAACCCTTTTTCTGGTCGCTATGTTTAGTAGAAGGCTGCTTCGAACCCTCGATTTTCTTGGTGCCATGTGCGTCGGGAGTATCCGTTTTCTTTCGGTTGTCATTGTCATTGCTATCATTGGCATCGATCATTTTTGTTTCATTTGTATCGTCTTCGTTTTTGTCGAATGTATTCATTTTGTTGCCATCTCCGTTATTAGCATTGACCGTTTTTGAATCCCCATTCGTGTCAGTCCCATTACTGTCGTCAACATCGGCCATTTTTGAATCATCCGGCTCATCTTTTTTCAAATTGATGTTATTCTCTTCGGTGTCATTGTTTTCGTTGACATGGGCCATGTTTGAATCATTTGTGTCGTCTTCGTTTTTACCGTTTGTATTCTCKTTAGTCTCAAMACTTTCGCTGACATCGGCCATGTTTGAATCGCTCGGGCCATCACTGATATCTTTGACGTCTTCTGATGCCTTTTCCGGGTCAATCTTTTCTATACTCGTCTTTTTTCCCTCGCTACTGTTCTCTTTTTGGTGATCGATATTTTCTCTGATCTCTGAAGAAACGGAATCATTTTTCTTACCATCATCGTTGTTGCCATCTGATTCTTCAATAGCGTTCGATCCTCCAGGGATGTCCTTACCGTGAGACAGCCGATACCATTTTCTAGTTATCTTTTCGAGATCTGCAGGCTTTCTACATTGGTTCATTAACGGCAGCTTGTGTTTGGCATACAATCTCATAGCTCGCCATGTGAATAAGGAATCATTCTTCGGATGATATTCATCTTCGATACCCGACTCAGGATCGAGAGCTTCCACGTAAGGTTCCAAGTGCACCTCCAAGGTTGGAATGTTATCTTTGAGATTTTGAAGATCGTTGTTGCCCAAGAATTTGTTAGAAGTAGAACAAACAGTTTTCTCACTCGTCTTGATGTTCTGGCCATTCTTGCCGAACGGTTCCTTTCGTTTGCGCTGACGATTGCTCCCATCCGTTGAATCGCTGTCTAAGACGAGCTCGTGCTTTCGTTGAAACTTTGGAGCAAATGCACTGGCAGAACACTTCTGTTTTTTCCATGTACGCCAATCATTTTCTCTTCCATTTGCCAGTATAGATCCCCACAAGATATCGTGAAGTTGAGGGTTGTCGTTCTTCAAAAGTTTTCGGGCGCGTCCCAGGATACTGGAAAGTGCATTTTTCAAGGGTGGTGATTCGCTACCCAAATGCGAGCCAACAATCAAGAGTTGTGTCACAATATTCGACCGAAAAACTGGGTCTTCGATCTGGGAGGGTAGTAGGGCAGAAGAGGTTAAATATTTTGTTGTGTTTTTTGTAGTGGCGATATTTTCTATCTGGTCATCGTCACGTTTGAGAGCAACTGTGCTATCGGTGCATGTCGTTGTCGATGCCGATTCCATGGCTGCAAGAACCAATTTAAGTTTTCTTATGAATTCCCTCACGTTAATTTTATTCGGATTTGCAAAGTCCGTTTGCAATGACCACATGGCCTCATAGAGACTGTAGTCGACCGCATTCGCAGAATTAKATACCACAGCTCTAGGAATCTGGTTGAATTCTTCCTCGTTTTCGAAATCTGTTARATTGGATGTGTGAAAGTTTCCCCATAATTTTAGGGACGACTTATCGGCAACAGAAAATCCCCTTGCCAAGGCCCACAAAATCCGCCCCTTCCATTCGACAAGCATTGCAGTGTCTGAGGTATGCCCCAATCGTTTTAGGAATTGATTAGCGACTTTGAGAAAGGGTAAGTGACTGTTTGGCAAGATTATACCATTAGTATTGTTTTCTTTTGTCAACCGACACCAAAATTTATCTCCAAAAAGGACACGGTTAACCAAAGAAGGTTCCACGTAGGTGCTCCAGAAGTGCTGTACATCCTCTAKAGAGGGCAAACCATCCACGCAGTCTGATAATAGTATATAGGGCAATCTTCGGCATGATGCTAAATGTTCATAAACAGTAGTTTTCGTTTCTAAATTTCTGGAACGCAACGCATGGTGAACCAAATGGTGACAAAGATCAAGCGTCGATTTCCAAAAGATACCAATTGCATCAGCAGTTGTTCTTTTAAGATCATTTCCGTTGCAATCAGAGGCTTCCAGATTATTTCCCTCCACCAATAGCAATTCCAATAACTTTCTTCGGACTGTAATTTCCATGTCTTCTAATCGCGTGTTCGCAGATGCCGCTTTCTCACCATCGGTGATAGTGGTGGCTGTGTCGATGTTTACAACTTGCTGCGCGACCGATTTGAAAAAAGAGTCCTCGATCGAGTTGATGTAATCTTCATCCGTGGGCTCGAGAGTCATTGCAACCATGCTAAATTGCTGTTTTCTTTTATGGCGGTGGGATGTTGATTGAGATGGATGTCTTGCAATAGCTGGAGCAGGGAGGCACTAGAACAACTGTTGGATCATCGCTGGGGAGTGAGATCGACCTTGATAGGTCGTATGTTTTTCGTGTTACTACTGTATCGAAATTAAATTAAAATATTGTTGGCTTCTCGACCAACACGGAGAGCATATTCCTGACTCACTCGACTAATCTAATTCGCCCATGGTTAACCCCATCCCACTTTTTCTGTACGGTAGCTACTGTACTTTACTACGGTACGAGTACCGTGCCGTACTTACAGTAACTCGTACGCAAATGGAAAAGGTCTTGCGGGTTGATCAAATAAATTCCAAGTTATCATTGTAACGATGGAATTCCGGACTCAGCTTTCGAAGTAAAGAGTCACGCAACTGCTCGGATACGTTTCAAAACAGAATAATGACCTCAACCAATGCACTCGATCCATCCTCCGTTGCGGAAGAAGGGGAGGCAGGTGAGGCCACTTTACTGGTATCAGAATTTCCCCCTCCGCCATTTTACTACACCGAAGCGTCGACGTTGACACCACCCGAAATCCCGAAGGAAGCCCTTGAACGAGGGACCAGAAAGGCAGCTTCGGCCGCTGCTGCTGCTCGTGCCAAAGCAGAGCAGCAGAGATTGGCAGATCAAACAGGGGATGTATTGGGTGGTGTCTTGGCCGGGAACGCAGCGAATGAATTAGAGCAGGAAGAGGAAGGTGATGTCGTGGCAGTTTTTGGAGAAGTTGTAGAAGATCCGTTGTTATTCCAGCCGTTGGACCCGTGTGAGGATCCACTCGTAATTCGAGACGAAGTGAAAAGGTTAAACCGCGAAGTCGTTCGAGGATTCATAAATTTAGTTAACGACCTAGTCAATCGACCGGCTGAAAATAAGTGAGTACCAATAATGAWTTTCAATCCCAAACCGTCGGAAATGAATGGTGACATTGTCCCACTTCAAAGTAACGGTGCTAAACATTTCATTTCTTTTACCCTCTCACCCGAAA